AATAACACGAGGAATAATAATAATTTTTTGTGATAACATTGTATGTTATTCAGTATTATATATAAATTTGTCACTAGTAAACTCAATCATATATAAAAATACTCATTACAATATTACAGTTGTTTTTTCAACATGCCCATTTTGTATACAATGTCGCTTTACGGCTGAAAGTTATAAATTCCCCAAATTTATTAAATGTCCTTAACTGGACAGTTGTAAATAAAATAGAGAATAAAAAAAATAAAATAGGTCGGTAAAAAAAAACTTTTATTATGGACAGAGTTATAATAACGTGCACACTGTTAAGAGTTACATCAACAAAATGATTGGATTAACTTTAAAATTAACTATTATATTAATATCTACAGATAAAAACAAATGTCGGTAAAATATCTCAAATTCAGCAATAATAAGTATAACAAAATCAGAAACATACTAGCAAACTTCTAAATAAATTATTGCAAATAATGAGAATATTTAGCTCAAGAACGTTAAATTCGCCTAGAATTGTAATGAAAAATCAAGATGCAAAATGATACGTTTCTGATACAATATTGCATTGACAAAATTTTATAAAAAAAAACATTTAATTTTTAGCTGGTGGCTATAAACAAGATATGAAAGAAATGATATCGAATGCTAACCTGATATTCATATCATTCGTTTTTCAGCTACCTGGCTACCAGACATGACGCAAATAAGCTTTTTACATCTCTTTTATATTTACAATCTTCAACTGGCTGTGCAACATATAAAAATCTTCTAGTGATTTAAATTAATATGACTCTGGGTTATCGGCAAAGCGTCTGTACAATTTATATCGAATTTCGTGGAACTGATATAAATACTCGAAACAATCTTGTTACATCTAATGTGATCACGACCGAGATGATAAAATCGCTTTTAAATTTTGCTTTATAAGATACAATACTATCTGACTCATTCATCAATTTTGTTAAAAACCGATTGATTTAACATTTAACTCGACCACAAGCTGTGTTTCTTCAAGCTCTGTATTTTCATAAAAAACATTTCATGTTTACATCTTACAATTTTAACTCTTAATAATAATAATTTATTAGATCTTGATATACACTAAAACAAGTTAGACTTATTTGTGTTATAGAGTGAATTTGACTCTATTACATATTGATAGACAAATGCTTAAATCTACAACCAATGGAGAATAGAATTAGTTGACCTTAAACATTTAACAGCTTTCAATTTTTGCATATCATCTCAAAATATAAACTTTCAGTTTCGCATAAACATATCTCAAAATATAAACTTTTACACTAAAAATGTCACACTATAGTATTATAGTATCCTTCAAAAATCCTACGGAAATATTCATTTAAATTGCAGCAATCTAGTTCAAATACAGGCTTACAAAATATGGTGAAAATATTAATAAAAATATCTCATGTATTAAATGCTTTTTTAAAGTTTTCTCGCATTTAAGATTTAAAGCTAGAATATTGAAATATATTACTCCAATTGGAATTTCGCTTATTAGAATGTGCGTGATTAAAATGAATGCATTTTATATATTTTCAAACTTCCTATTTTGCAAAAAGAGCAAACAACAGCTGTAATCGTATTGATAGCAATCCATAACTATTAATTTAACTTATCTTTCAATAATTTTCAAATGTGCCATAAAAGCAAAGCAACAATTATTGTAATAGTCAGACTATATATCGCAAAGAATTAATGATATATTCGACACTATTATTGTAATGGTTTTTTGAACAACAAAGAATTAATGTCACGTTTTAATGATTTGGAATCATTAAAAAATTAATTCACGCAAGTATTCCATGTACATTAAAATTACCAGATATAGTTATAAATCTAAATTATAGAACATGGACTTTTATGATAACGTAGTATGTCATTTCCTGTAGTTCATGTTTTGGATCATGCAATATCTGATAAAATACATATTTTACGCAACATAAACCTACAAATAGTGTGCAGTGCTTATAAATGCTAAATTAACTTTCAGCCATACAAAAAACGATGTTTTTATTTATTGTAACAAATTGTCAAAATAAAGTACTACGCGTTTCAAATATAATGAACATTATTATTATTACGCATATTTGGTCTTTGAACTCATTTCGATTATTAATAATTTCATTTGAACTCATTGAACTTGTAGTATACCACAATATCGTGATGTAACTTATATCAAATAGTAACTAAAAATTAATTGCTTTCAGCAATTTGTTCGATATGCGCAATGAAACATTCTACCGAATGTTAATATGGCATGTTTGATCTTTGAACTCACTTCCTTCAATTAATATTTTTTCGCACTCGTTGAACTCGAAATAAATAACAATTGTAATAAACGCAATGCGATAAAATTGAGATTATTAAAAAATCATTTCATTATTAACTTTGTGCTATTCCCAATGCTTTAATGTTTGCATTATTCTAAATAATAAATGAGCAATATGATCGGAATAATCCACTATTCTCATATCAACACCGGTACCTTCATTAGATTCCCATTGGAATGCAAATAAAATGGAAAACGATTAAAACCTTAATCACGTTTATCCTTATTTTTATAAATATCATAATCAATATTAATGTGCAATCTAAACAAACTCTATCATAAATTACATTTTAATTACAAGGCCGTTAAATAATATAGGGGTAATACGGTTAAAATGTAATTTATGTACAAAATGACACAGTGGTCTTATTCAAAAATTGGCTAGTTTCAGAAACGTTTCCACGACTGAATAACATGAAGAAAGCCATAATAATAATCCTGTCAGATGGTGAGCGTCATTGTCACAGTATTGTCAAAGTAAATGGGTTTCGCGCCTCCAAGAGTTTATTAACTTCCCGTAGGGCAAGTTATAGTAATCGCAAAAAAAAACGAAAATGAAAATTTTTAAATATCTTTACGTTTCAAAATCCTCTGAACATTTTAGCATACCTTAGAAAAAATGGATGTATGTGTGTGTGTTCGGATACAAATTTTCGTCGACGATTTCGGGAACACGGATGAAGCGATTTGAATAATTCAAAAAACATTCGATTCGTATTGATAAGGAGATGTGCTGATTAGTTTTTGGCGAAGGCAGGTCTAGCCGTTCCGAAGATATGGGACAAAAAGTGCCAAAAACGGTAACTCAGTTTTTAAGAGAACGGATCGTCCGATTTGAATAATTCAAAAAACATTTTACTTGTATTAACAAGATGAAGAACTGATCAAATTTTCATGAAGGCAGATCTAGCGGTTTCGGAAATCTAGTAAAAAAAAGTAAAAAAAAAATGCCATTTGCCGGTCAAAAATGATCAATAGACATATGCACATCAAATTATTAGATATTTTATAGAGATTTTAACAATAAGTATAAATTTTGTTTACATTCTTATGGGTTCCGCACCAATGTTTATCCGTTAGACGGCGACGCGGCGCTTATGCGCTTCGATATTTCGTCTCTATGCATTTAAAGAAGTGCGACTGCTTTGAAAAAAGGTTCAGAATATCCAAAATATTTCAAAATAAATTTTTCTTCAAAAAGTCTTTTTTTTTTTCAAAAAAAAGTAAATTTCTGTCAAAAATTTATAGTTTCTCAAAAATATAATTTTTTGAAAGTAATTTTTTTTTTCAAAAATGTTAATTTTTTTAAAAAAATAAATTTTTGGTACGGGAAGTTCCAGCAATTTGCCTTAAGGCACGATGCTATGCGCCCCACTAGTTTTGAGGGTGGTTTTATCATGTTTTTTGGACCTGCGTATTGATCATCATTTTAATTAACATCAATCAATTTATACCAGTACTGATGATATCAATCAATTTTATTGCAATAACCAGGTGTTTGGTGAAATTTTGAATGATTGTTCATTTTTGTTCAATTTCGGACAAAATGACATACTTATACAATGGACAAAAGGGCATAGTACTATTTCGTAAGCATTATAGGGCCAAGAAAAAAAATAAAGTCTGTCAAAGGTAATTGGCTTGTATATTCTATTGCAAGTATGCAAAAAATAATTGCTAAAAACAGACCAAGAGATCCACAAAAAGAAGAGGCTTGCATTTGTTGCAAAACTCTCTTTCATTATTCTGAAACCCGGTGATGATTGGTTACGATGTATGACTTGTACCCTTAGGTTCATATGCTAATGTCCCAGAGAGGACAAAACGATTTATTTGTTAACTGCTTTCTTAAAAACTAGCATCTCAGTAGATCTTAACCTATATGTCATTTTGTCCGTACTATGTGGATTAAATAGTTTTTGTAATAAGTTGTATTTTTCCAATAAATATGTTATTATAGTTCCCACTTAATTGCAATGCTATCTTACTGGTAATCAATGAAACAAAAAAGATTAAGAAGATTGAGACTGGTTATAATATCATTAAAAAAACAAATATCACTAGAAAACAAAACACCACACCATTTTGTCCGTACTTCCCCTATATACAAATATCTCTTTTTTATTTATTCCTAAACTAAAATCAAATTTAGTGTTTGTGGCGAGCATAGCTCACGGGTAGCCTGTTCGATTCACACGACAGGGATCTTCGAATCAAATCCTGTCATTGACTTACAAATAGAATATAGGAAAATATAGGTATAGTTAATTTGAAATCAAATAAATATTGTGTTGTTAAGTAGAATTTGCATAAATATCAAGAAAAATAGAAATAACAGAGTTCGAATAGCTGAATTGTATTAGGAGTAAGAAGAGAAATATTGGAACTGAGCTGAAATTAAAAAGAAGAATGAAGAAAAAAATGGAATGAAGCTAGAAGTTAAATAGAATTAGAAATTTGAAAAAAGAACAAGAATTGAAGAAAGAATAGGATACATATATAGATTGAAAATAATATAAAAAAAAATTAGAATGTAAATAAATAAAAATGTTGTAGGTGGCTAAATGGCTCAGAATAAGCGAGGCGAAATAAAATTTAAAAAAGAAATAGTGTTAAACAGTAACCGAAAATTTTAAATAAAATCGAAACTCACATAATTGCCTGCATGCAGTACGTGATGTGGTCCGCCTTGCATGTGGTGGGCGGCTGCCGCGGGCAGCAGAACGTGTCGCACGGTGCCGCTCTCGTCGACGATCTGCTGGAGCACGTGGCCCGGAGGTACTTGCACCGGCATCGCTGCTACTGGTGGCGACGAATTCATGGACACCATGAATGACACGGGCCCAAGCTGGAAGGACTCTGCAGACAAAACAAATCGAAATTATTCAACACTGCATTATATACATTCATTATTATTTATAACAACCACAACACTTTACTAAAAGAATTTGGTATTCCTTCCCTTGCCTCAAGTCGATTTATCTGTACAATTATGTTCTTATTTAAGCTTTGCAATAATTCTATAGACTGTCCTCTTATTCTCAATCAACTATCCTTTAATGTTCCAAGGCTATCTTTGCGTTCACAATTATTTTTCAATTATCCTACCCCTAAATCTAATTCTCTCTTAAATTCGCCAATTTTACTTATGTACTCTAACTTTAACTTAATTAATAATGAAATAGACATTCACAACACTTCACCTAATCAAATAATCTCCATCTGCACAAGTTAATCTTTTTATTTTCTTTCAAATATCTCATTATTTTCTTATTCTGTTTATAAATATTATTGTTACATTCTGCATTATATGTAATTTTATCTTAAGCATTTTATGTTACTGACTATATATTGTAATTTTGTATATATTTTAATTGTTATTTATTATGTAAAATAATTGTATTTTTGAGTCCTCTTGGAGAAATCTGTGGGCTATATATTTAAATAAACAAATAAATAATAAATAAAATAAATAACGAGCGGTCGGTGAACATTTTTAATCGTTACCCAAAATATTTTTAATTAATATTACTCCATGGCGAAGAGCAAAAAAAAAATAAGTCGCTTATTTTTAGCATTTTTATATTATGGCCCTCCATGATATTTGAAAATGAAATTTCATTTTACATTTTTCTGAATCTGAGTTAGTACCGGAACTACTACGCAGCAAATGCAGTAAATATCAATTTTTTTTAAATATTTTTACCAGCGATCAGAACCTTACGTTCTATGAGCTGTTGAACTGAAACTTCTCTTTACTTCGTATTTTTTAGATGGTAACCCAATGGTTAATCCATCCATATTTGATGATTTTGTTATTACAATTAATCTAATAAGGTTGACTTTTTATTGGTGCAGCAATGCCAAAGGGCTATTTTCACTTGGAAACATATTGCTATCTATATTTCCAAGTAAAAATCGTTGTCACTGCTGCCTGACAACAGGCTACTCGAAGGTATCGGTATCGAACCCGGGACCTCTGATTCAAGTCCCGTCGCTCTTAACCGCTTACCTACGGGCGAGCCCCAAATATCAAATGAAAATATATACTTTTACAACAAAAATCTATTTTTACCGCATTTGGGGCAATTTACACCGGTTACCCGACCGCTGATTTGTGGTTTTAACCGTCTGAGTATCACATATTTTTCTCTTACTTCCAAGTTCCAGAGAAAATGGTAATTATTGTTGGCATTTTCCACATACAATACAAAAAATGTGTGACGGCACTAAGACTGTCCAGTGTAACGTCAATAATTAACTAGTGGTGTATGGCATCGTGCCTTAAGGAAATCACTAGAACTTCCCGTACCGTAACGAAATGTTCGAGGAATATTAAATGTTTTCAAATAGATTATTATAAATATTGTAACACTGTCTAATATTTATAAGAATTATATAAACTGAATTACAAAGTTGAAATTATTTGTTTAAAGTATATTTATAGAACTTTTTTTTTAGTCAGAATTGAAATTAAAACCTGAATTATTTTCGATATACAAAAATTTTTTTTTACAAAAGCAATTATTATTTTGTTAAAACAAGATGAATGTTTCTTGAATCATTCAAATCGGACGCTTAGTTCTCTCAAAAACTGCCATTTTTGCACATTAGCTCTGTATCTTAAATAATGGCTGGACCTGCCTTTGCAAAAAGCTAATCACTCTATTCTTCCAATCATTACAAATTGAATGTTTTTTAGATCATTGAAATCGGATACTCCGTTCTCTCAAAAACTCGATTAGTACCTACCTAGTAATTAGTACCGACTTTGCTCCGTATCTCCGTAACGACTGAACCTGTCTTTACCAAAAACTAAACAGCACATCTCCCTATCAATAGGAATCGAATGTTGGAATGTTCTTTGAACCATTCAAATCTGCTGATCCGTGCGCCCGAAAACGTGAACGAAAAAATGCGGCATACATCCATTTTTTCTGAGGTATGCCAAAATGTTCAGAAACCTTCAAAACGTTAGGATATGCAAAAAATTTCATTTTCGATTTTCGGCTCATTACCATATCTACCCTATGGGAAGTTAACTAGTGTTGCATTTTGCAACCCATTTATAAGAAGATTGATGGAATGTCTAATGATGCAATTTCTATTGAAATGTAGAGAAATATACATCCGGTATCAAAAGTAAAATTTAATACTCATATTTTTGGTAAATTCAAACAAAGTTATTATCCTTTTATAAAAAATCTATCTTGGTGCGAATTTTACCAAGTTAGTTTATGGTTTATGGTTAAGAGCGATTGGCATTCGATTTACACATCGTCAGTATTACCCAAAGTTTGCTGATGTTCCATAATAGAATAGACGCAAAAAAGGTTCAGTTAAATAAGTTATTGTTAAATAAGTTCGATGTTTTATTATAATCATAGATTACATAGGAAACTAATAGAAAACACACAAAACACTTTTCGATTGGAGACCCGAGAAAACATATTTTGCAGCACAACAATGAATTTTCCAATAAGCGGCCAATACAATTAATAATCGTGCCATACACATGCCTTTCCAAATATACAAAATATAAACTTTAGACATATAATATATTTATATTTATACTGTCACAGATTTGTCTAGATAACAAAATAATTTCAAATCGAACCATAAAAAAGCTCATACGTACATACATCAATATTTGAAACTTCAGATGTACTCTCATTGTAATATGTAATTACTATCTCATTAATTTCAAATAAAATACTTCCAAGAATTTAAATAATGAAACAATACATACCCAAACAAAACACGCAATAAACCTAATAAAGAAATCTCACTTAATTATACACAATAGAATGCAAAATCTATTTTAGGATTTTATTATTTATTGAAATCAACTCTTCGGAACACTGTTTTGCACAAGACACAGAAGCGATATTACAAATGCGGCTTCAAAATATTTCAGACGCGTTATCGTTTCAATTGTCAGTAAAATTAAATAGATTTGAATTGGCAAATGTTTAAAAAAAAGCACATTCATTAGATTATAATGTGTTCTGTTATTGCGTTGTACGTATACCAAATAGTTCATAACCATTGTTAATAATTTTTGTTGATGTTTAAGATTTGAAGAACAATTGATACAATAACACAATTAACTGATTGGTAGTATGGAATGGCACTAATCTGTGTACATTAAAGATTATATATTGTATCCAAAAAAATAAATGTCAGACATAATTATATTTGCATATAATTAACTTCCCATAGGCTAAGTTATAATAATCGCAAAAAATCGAAAATGATTTTTTTTGCATATATTTACGTTTCAAAGGTTTCTGAACAGCACACCCGATTTAAATGGTTTATGAAACCTAGGACTCCTACTGATGGGGAGACGTACTGATTAGCTTTTGGCCAAGGCAGGTCCAGCCATTTCAAAGATACGGTACAAAAAGGGCCAAAAATGGTTTTTCAGTTTTTAAGAGAATGGAGCGTACGATTTTAGTAATTCGAAAAAACATTTTACTTGTATTGACAAAATGAAGAATTGATTAAATTTTTGGGAAGGTTGGTTCAGTGGTTTCGGAGATCCAAAAAAATGTAAAAAAAAGCCATTTGGCGGTCAAATATGATCATTAGACATATATACATCAAATTATCAGATGTTTTATAGACATTTTAATAATGAGTACAAATTTTATGTTATATAGATTCAGTTATAGAATTTTCCGTTAAACTGCGAAGCGGCGCTTAAAAAAAGTTCAAATCATCCAAAAAAAATTCAAATACAATAAAAAAATTAATTTTGCAAAAAATTCAAAAATTTCAAAAATCCTAAAAATCAATTTTTTTTAAAGTATTTTAAAGCTTTTTTAAAAATTAGAATTTTCGGTACGGTAAGTTCCAGCAATATGCCTTAAAGCACGATGCCATGCACCACCAGTTTATCTTAAAATTGAACGGTTAAGTGGCTTTAAATATCACTTAATAATCAAATATTCTCCGAATAATGCAAACATGAAATACAACAAAAATATTATCGGAATATGTTTCCAGTGCAATAATAACATATTTTAATTAGACATTATTATTGATAAATTTATACAGTTGAATTAAAAAAATGTCAAAATAATGTGATAAAAATATCGAACAATTATCAAAAGTTAATTAAGAAAATCATTCTGGTAACAATGACGTAAGGTTCTATTGAATAATGATAAGATATGGGGAATAATTTTATACGACTTGTTTACATTTAAATGGTTATTTAAAAAATAGTGCAGTCTGGATATCGACAAAGAATTTTAAAATATTTACAAAACTGCCAATTCCATTGTTTCACAGATGTAGAAATTTATTAACACATATAAGAAATGCATTTGTATGCGTATATGTAATTTGCAATACATATCAGGTTATAAATAGAATGCAGAATGAAAACTTAAGTCTCTCCAATCGACGTTGTTGTTCCACATTCTATATTTCATTGTGTTAAAACGATATAAAACCAAATATGCTGTGTGAAGATGAATGTTAAGAAGAAATTGTTTGTTTTCAATATTATTCACAGCGAATTTAATTTTCGTATCTCCGTTTGCAAAAGAAATATTTTCCCATAAGAAATAATAATTGGATTAGATTATAACATATGGAAATTAAAATAAGAAATGGAGCATTTGAAAAGCTCACACTTCAAATAATAAAAACACAAGTACATATTATTTTTTACTCGAGAAACGGAAAACCCAAATTCCAATTTTAATCAAAATGATTATGCCGAATAGACTACATTATATACATATATGTATATCTAGTGTATTTCTGTTTACATGTGTCAATTCAATCTCTAATAAGAATATTGCACTGTATTCAAAGGCACGAATACGCAGATGGTCTCAATATGATATTCATGGACAAGGATCGATATTTATGGAAATCCCCGAAGCAAAAGGAAAACTAAGATATTATTTTTTAGAATGTTTGTTACGCAATTAAAATACAGGGAAAACTAACTACTGAATTGTTTGCAGTTCCAATTAGAAATAATTGTATTTGTATACCTAATATAATTTACATGTATTAGGACAGTTAAAGCATGTTTAAATATGATTAACATATTTATTAAATGTAACAGTCAAGTTATTAGTCGTATTTTATATTATAAAGTGAGATGTATAAAACTTTCATTCGTTTAATATAAAATCTTTTTTTTAAAGTGACTGATATTTTTAAGTTTAATATTAATTATTTTTGAGCCGGTATGACAATATTACATCGATCCAACTCGAACGTCCGTCATAAGACAATGAAAAGAATTTCTGAAATATTCTGATATACTTTACGATGTCTTAAGACTGGTTTTCTTTTGGTGAAGATTTTAAAACAAAGACGCGTTTGCATCTTCCAGAAAGGTAAACGTTTGTACGAGATGCTTAATTTAAAAAAACTGTAACAATTTCATTGCCCAAATTTTAAATACATAATTAAATCATGCTATACAATTTGCACATATGTGCTGAAAGTTGAAACCGATTCGTGGAAAACTTACAGCGGTCTTGAAGTCTATAGCTCAGTCACGTTCGTTTACAATTCGAATTAATTTAATTATAACCTTTTCAATAACTTCTCAGAAATCATATTTCAGAAATGAAATCAAATCTTATGCTTAAAATAATTTATGAGTGTGTTATTTTAAATTTGTTATATTAAAACTTTCCGATTGCATTCTTCAGAATATCAGATATGTTTGAATATTTATTTACATAAAATCTGAATTACTGTATTTATTTCTGAGACTTGAAAACTTGCTAGATCAAATATACTAAATATGCTTTATAAATTTCGTTCGTAATTAAATTCATCTTATCAGTTCTTAGATTCTGACAATGAGAGGACGTGGACACCGCACTCACACTACTACTATGTACATTTGACATAATAAAGAAGACATTTAAATTTCTTTCAAAACAAATACAAAAGGTCCCAGAACATGTCTTTTCCTGATGTACTATCACAATTAATCAAAGATATTAACAAAACTTTATTTTTATGCAATTTTACGACTAACATTTCGAACAGCATATTATTTCGGAAGAAATTGAATACGTGTATATTAACTTACTTGCAACAATAGTTCATACAAATTCCATGGGCTGAAAAAGTTTTATCACATATGTTTTATGAATATTATGCAAAGTTGATTGATATTTTAATTTGAACAAACAATTCCACTACATAAAAAAATTCACAGCATTAAAATAATCAGTTACAATACAATCACAATTATTTTGACACTTGTGTATACTTAATCGTGCGTTGCTCAATGTTGACATGTCGACATTCCGATCACCACACCCTTGCACGTCTGTTGGCAGCTATGCAATGTTGCCTTATGTCAGAATTCACTTGCAACTATTACCAATGCTGGCAACACTTCACTCTTGATAGATATTTTGTATTCGTCGTTTGCCTTAACCCTAGGCTACGATATGTATGTGCCCTTTCAAGTCAATTCTGGTCAATTCCTTCGTCCCATTCCCACGTACTAAATCAACAACTATTCAAATAAGTTAGTTGTTACTTCAATTACAAGATAAGTTTAAAACTGTTCGTCTTTGTGTGCTAATTATTTTCAGTAACTGAAAATCATTTAAATTCTTGCTTAGTTGCGCCTAATTGAACGCTAGCAAAACTAACGCTACATAATGTTTTCATTCATAATTTTAATACGCCGTATTTCAGAGGAAAACTGTAACTAGTGGGGTGCATGGCATCGTGCCTTAAGGCAAATTGCTGGTACTTCCCGTACCGTAATTAAAAATCTTGGTACGGAACCCAAAAAAATTTACACAAAATGTGTACTCATGATTAAAATCTCTATAAAATATCTGATAATTTGATGTAAATATGTCCAATAAACATTTTGACCGCATAATGACATTTTTTTAACTTATTTTTATTTAGAGTCCATAACCGCTAGACCTACCTTCCTAAAAATTAATCAGTTCTTCATCTTGTCAACACAAGTACAATGTTTTTTGAATTAATAAAATCGGACGCTTAAAAACTGAGTTATCGTTTTTGGCACTTTTTGCCCCGTATCTTCGGAACTAATCAGCACGTCTCCTTATCAATACAAATAGAATGTTTTTATTATTCAAATCGGTTATTTATATTTTTACCATTAATTGAATTTTCTTTTATTTACATGATAATGTGTTCTCTTAACTGTTCAATACTGGTCAGCTTATTTCAGGCTTACACTTGTAACTTGTTGATTGCTGTGTTTTTATTTTTTTCACTGATATTTCATGGTTGATCGGTGTTCCCGAAATCGTCGACGAAAATTTGTATCCGCACACACACATCAATTTTTAAGGTATGCCAAAACATTCAGAAACCTTTGAATCGTAAAGATATATAAAAACTTTCATTTTCAATTTTTTTGCAATTACTATAACTTATCCTACATTAATGAGAAATGTATTTAGGAACTTACTTCCTTGGTATATCTATAATATAATTTTTCTAATATGACACATTACAGTAATGGATTTACTAATATTGCAGAAACTGATATTTAAAATTGATATACTGCTCAAAAAATGCTTGCTTGATATGTACTGAAAATTTCAGTAAAACACGTGTGTAGATCAAAATGCAGATGATTTATTAAACTTGCAGCCATAAAATTGCACACATGCAGCAACGCATATTATAAGTGTTGGATATAAATATATTTCAATACAAGTTATTTTCAATAAACATCTTAAATATATAAATGGTGCCAACAAGATTTTATGAATAAATTTTCAAAATCATTTATCACATGAAAAAATTGCGAAGTAACATGATTCGCAAAACTACTCAAAAAACTTACATGCAAAACGAATATAAAATATTCACAACAATTTAGCATGAGTTTATAATATTTTATAGTATTAACCATAGATAAGGAAAGTATTAACATTGATAGTTCTTGATGTCTTACATCATTTGGTATGGAATTTGACTACATTCTTCACAACAGAATTATAAAGCAAACTACAACTAAGTAAATTTAGAAATGTCATGATTGAATAAAATAATTTAGAAACCTTATTTAATAATAGAGCTAAAATTAAGTTAAATATTAAAATAAGTTATTGATTATATGAATGTGAAATATGAAAAATTATTTTAAGCTAAATGAAAATACTAGTGCCCTTGTTTAATGATAACAGAAAAAATTCGCAATTAAAAAAAATAGAAAAACAATGTATTGCAAAATCATTTGAACCAATTTTGTTAACATCCAATATTTCACCAAAATCCTGCTGAAAAACCTCCTGGTGGCACTTTACCACGAGTTCCATTTACTTGAGGCGCATTTGCCGAAGCTGATTTTGGCTCTACCTTGCCATCATTACCCTCTTGTTTAGTTTCTGTAGGCATTGTACATTGCGATTCTGCCTTAGGTTCGACAGTTTTCTGGGAGATTAATATGTTTGGATCAACGGTACCCATAACTTCATTCATCGAGGTAGAATTTTGTTGATTCTTCATGTTGCGCGGTTTTTGTTCCTTCACTTCAGGCCCAGTGAAGATAGATGATCCACCACCTGGTGGCTTCAAAACACGGCTGGAAGGCTTAGCAGGTACAGCTACACCAACACCAAATTCTGCCATTTCTAGGAAATAAATTATTTTTGAACTTATTGAAATTTCAAGATGCACAAGACTTTCTTAAATACACAATAAAATCTTCTTACAAAAGGTGAGAACACTATTCACTGAAGAGGCCGAAAGACAAAATCATACCATTTTGACAAGGATTAGTTTTAAAAAAAACCTTAGAAAAAAATTGTTCATTTTGCTAACACACCGTCATATAATTGTAAACCAAAATGTATATGCATATTTTGTAAAGCAGAGCATTACATTAAATATGTTGATTCAAAGCTTGAATCTTTCATGAGTTAACACAAATGTTAACATCAATTATCCAAAACTTCATTACAGATATGCCTACTTCACTAACAGAACTAAAACTGTATAAACTAAACACAATTGATGACTTAATGGAGTTTATATATATTATCCTTAACTAAATTAGGAATATTTTGAAAGTGGAGAACACTTGGAGAGGTTATTCATGCTTTAAAAAAAGTAGAAACATTAAAATTTTATTTACTAACACGAAAATAGAATACACCACCTATATATTTCTAGTCGCCGTTGAAAAAATATATCCAAAACATACGATATAGAGCAAAGTTTGACAAATCGATTATTTCTCAGAACTATTCGAAAATAAAATTTCTCACGCCATTTTCAAAATACACCTCAGCTACATTAACACATAACGCTAAAGGACAACTATTGAAGCTGATATATGCAAAAAACAAACAAACATACCTGTGCTTGCAAAAAGACAAAGGCGGGTCGAATAACAGTTTTAATAGTGCTCTATTATTTCTCCCACTATTGTCTCCGCCGAACTCGTATTCCCGCTAAGATACTTGGGACTAATAACAAAGTACAAACTCAGTTTATATTTAAAAGTTCGAATTCAAATAAATTAGGATGTCGAACAGAAACACCAAACACGATGGATATGTTTATAATTACCAAACAACTAGGCTGGTCTTTCAAATTAACGATCGAACGCCCAATCACAAATGTACATTCATTATTGACATAAGCAGAGAACTCAAGAGGAGACACTCATCGTCATAATTCATAGATAATTCATTTTGGTTTGACGTCGCTATGCAGACATCAGCGACATGCTGAATTTATACTAACTAATAACTAAACACATTGATTCACATTGATTATATTTATGTTATTAATTATTATTTACAATAATATTTGTTTAAACAATACAGATTTATTATACCAATAATTGTCGTAATGTAAAAACTTAATGCCAGTTCATTTTTTCATTTGCATGAAATTTTTTTCGTCCTATATCAAAACTAGTGGGGCGCATGGCATCGTGTCTTAAGGCAAATTGCTGGAACTTTCCGTACCAAACATTTTTTTTTTTAAGTATTAACATGTTTGAAAAAATTTTACTTTGAAAAAATTAGATTTTTGAGCAACTATGAATTTTTGACAAAAATTTACTTTTTTGAAAAAACAAGACTTTTTGAAAATATAATAAATAATTATTATTGAAATCTCTATAAAATATCTGATAATTTGATGTGCATATGTCTAATGATAATTTTTGGCCGCCAAATGGCATTTTTAACTTCCCGAAAGAAAAGTTTATGTTTTCATAAAAAAATCCGATTCGCTAATTTTATGTTTTCTCGACGTTTCAAGCCATTCTGAATCGAATAAGACCAAATTTGGAAAAAGTATGTGTGTGTGTATGTGAACAGATTTTTTGCCGTAAATCGACTTTTTCTCAAAAACGGCTGGACCGATTTCAAAACCATTCGATGTATCTCGATGAGGACTATCGTTTACGCGCTACGATCAGCCAACCCGTTTCTTTGTAAATCGCAGAAAAGTGAAAAATTTTTCGTCCACGTTTTAGCCCGCAATTCTGAATCGATTATGAAAATTCAAAAACCGTTCGAAAGATATTGGTTGGGAATCGTGCTGATTAGTTTTTGGTAGAGATCGGCCGGACCGTTTTCTTGTAATCAAATGTTAAATGAGTTTTTTTCGACGATTTTCATTATTGTTTTTTTGACGATAGATACCATAGTCTTCTAGATCATACTAAAATATTACGACTCTTCGACAACTCGTTTAACTTTAAAAAATCGTCAAAGTTTGCAAAAATTCGTTTCGTTTTTTTGGCATTTGTCAAAAATAAACCTTTAATCAACATTTTCTCAATAACGCCTGAACCTATTTCAGAAATTTAAAAGCCATTTGATGTATCTCGATGAGGACTATCGTTTGTCAGTTTTGTGCGACGATCTGCCGAGCCGTTTCTTTGTAATTTGGAGCAAAGTGTTAAACTTTTCGTCCACATTAAAGCTCATACTACCTAATCGATTTTGAAAAATCAAAAACTGTTCGAAAGATATTAGTCGGAAATAATACTGATTAGTTTTAGGTGAAAATCTACCGAGCCGTTTTCTTGTAATTAACTGTTGAAAAAAAAAATTTAGTCGATTTTTATGGAACTTTTTTTGGCGATATATATTATGGTCTATAGAAATTACTGAAATATTACGGTCTTACAACATGTAGTTTAATTTAAAAAATTCATCAAAGTTTGAGAAAATAAGTAGTTTTTTTGACGTGTGTTAAATATAAAATTGAACGATTTACTTGGTATAACGATAGAGTACTTGATCTTAATGAACATACTAAACCAATAAAGTCCTACGGATACTGATTCAATTATAAAAATTGTTGATTTTTGAAAATTTGCTCTTAGAAAATATCCCGAGTTAACGTGTTCGTTCGTTTTCATACTTTAATCACTCATAAATTAATTTATTTTTTATTGATTAAGTCGATTATTTACACCAACTAGTTTATATTTTTTTTACTAGACCTCCAAAACCGCTAGACCTTCATGAGAATTTAATCAATTCTTCATCTCGTCATTATAAAGGTGCGTCCACACCTAACGAACGAACACGAACGAACATGTCGAACAAGAAAATACAAAGAAGAACGAACAGGAACACGAACGAACGCGAAAAATTCCAAACGAACTTGAACAAGCGCTTAAAAGCAGTGAGCGCTTGAATTTTTGTTGTTCGTAGATGTTCCGTGAAACGTCAGTTTTATTATTGATGTGGATGTAAGCTTTAATCATACGGCATTTTCACTGGTTTTTGTGTGATTTTTGTTCGTGTATATTTTGTAAATATACTGTAAATAAATTATTCAATTAATTTCACTCAGTTTTTGTATTTAATATTTATATTTTGAGTCGTTTTCTTTCTTCAGCATTCATATTCGGAGCAAGCTGAACATTCCAGGCTTGAGCTAACTATACTCAATTTTCATACTCTCATCCTCAACATATATGTTGAATGTCTATGTATGATAACAAGTTTAATATTTACTTGTAAAGACTGCAATCATACTCTTCTTTTATCTATGACTGCAATTTCTTTTTTACTGCAGCTTCTGACATCCCAAACGTTTTGCCTACACTTTCCCAAGCATCGTTTTTTTTCTAATAATTTTATAAAAAGGGTCTTTAGTCTCCCATATTATAGGAAACTTTTCTATTTCATTTATGAATGATAAAATTACGTCATTTGACCATTCCATAATTTATTCAAAATTTTCAAACTGTACACAATAATTAAAAGTAAATATTATTAAAATTTTCAAACATTAAAATTATTAACATTATTATTAAATTATTAAAAAATTATTATTAAATTATTAAAATTATTAAAACAAAAATGTTCGTTTGCGTTCGTCGAGACGTCCACACTGCACATACGAGTTCAAACATGAACGAACAATTCCCTTTGATGTACCGACAAGTTGCGGAACATTGCTCGCCATGTTTGTTTATGTTCGTTCGTGATCGTCGTGGCGTCCACACTATGCTGTTGCCGTTCGTTCTGGTACGTTCTTTTATGTTCGTTCGTGTTCGTTCGTTAGGTGTGGACGCACCTTAAGTAAAATGACTTTTTGCCCCGTATCTTCGAAACGGCTAGACCTGCTTATGCCAAAAACTAATCGGCACGTCTCCTTATTGATAGGAATCGAATGTTTATTGAATAATTGAAATCGGTTAAACTATGTTCCCGAAATCGTCGACGAAAATTTGTATCCGCACACACACACTCACGCGTATATACACACATACATCCATTTTTTCTATATGCCAAAATGTTCAGAAACCTCTCAAACGTAAAGATGTATAAAAATGTTCATTTTCGATTTTTTGCGATTACTATAAAGGTGCGTCCACACCTAACGAACGAACATGAACGAACATGTCGAACAAGAAAATACAAAGAAGAACGAACGGGAACACGAACAAACGCGAAAAATTCCAAACGAACTTGAACAAGCGCTTAAAAGCAGTGAGCGCTTGAATTTTCGTTGTTCGTAGATGTTCCGTGAAACGTCAGTTTTATTATTGATATGGATGTAAGCTTTAATCATACGGCATTTTCACTGGTTTTTGTGTGATTTTTGTTCGTGTATATTTTGTAAATATACTGTAAATAAATTATTCAATTAATTTCACTCAGTTTTTGTATTTAATATTTATATTTTGAGTCGTTTTCTTTCTTCAGCATTCATATTCGGAGCAAGCTGAACATTCCAGGCTTGAGCTAACTATACTCAATTTTCATACTCTCATCCTCAACATATATGTTGAATGTCTTTTTATGATAACAAGTTTGATATTTAATTGTAAAGACTGCAATCATACTCTTCTTTTATCTATGACTGCAATTTCTTCTTTACTGCAGCTTCTGACATCCCAAACGTTTTGCCTACACTTTCCCAAGCATCTTTTTTTTTTCTAATAATTTTATAAAAAGGGTCTTTAGTCTCCCATATTATAGGAAACTTTTCTATTTCATTTATGAATGATAAAATTACGTCATTTGACCATTCCATAATTTATTCAAAATTTTCAAACTGTACACAATAATTAAAAGTAAATATTATTAAAATTTTCAAACATTAAAATTATTAACATTATTATTAAATTATTAAAAAATTATTATTAAATTATTAAAATTATTAAAACAAAAATGTTCGTTTGCGTTCGTTGAGACGTCCACACTGCACATACGAGTTCAAACATGAACGAACAATTCCCTTTGATGTACCGACAAGTTGCGGAACATTGCTCGCCATGTTTGTTTATGTTCGTTCGTGATCGTCGTGGCGTCCACACTATGCTGTTGCCGTTCGTTCTGGTACGTTCTTTTATGTTCGTTCGTGTTCGTTCGTTAGGTGTGGACGCACCTTAACTTGCCCTACGGTAAGTTAATAATTCTATTCATTTTAAAATTTAAAACCTCAAGTAACAAGATTTTTATAGTAACCCATCTCACTCATGGCAACTTTTTTATACAGGACACCCTTTTTTTATACTATGGTAATATGATTGACCGCCACTGCATTTCTACAACGACAGTTAAGTCCTAGAAAATATTAGAAAATAATTAGAATATTATTAGAATTAATATATTCATTGTTAATTTAATATATTTATGGTTCGAGTCGATTATAGCAAAAGGTTAGAATGATGAAAATCAATGGAATTAAAACCTTACATTTTAAATGTAAATTTTCGAACTTCTATGCAAAACCTAATAATCAAATTAATTTAAAAAAAAAAAAACTTTCATGATATCGAAAGCAGCAATGTCGATTAAGCTGTGTGCTTGAATGAACAGATCGCCATCATGCAAGAAACTACAACTACAAAGCCTTTTAATCTATTAGTTTTTGACAAACTTATTGTATATAGAGTGATTCATTTAACAGATTTGAATCAATATTAAATTGATTTTGCGATAAAATTTAGAAGATCTGATGTTAACTGTATCAAAAATGAATTTAAGTAAATATTGACGATCAGAATACTGGGCCCTGTCATGCTTGAATCTATTTTGGTACAATAAGCTTTCGTGTATTTGGAACACATATGAGGCAATGTTTATAAATACAATTTTAGTTTAATGAAGTTCTATTTAAGTTCCTATAACTGAAAGCATTGGAAATTCATTTTAAATTGATATCACGTCCTATAGGTTAGTTTGCCGAAAGAAACACAGAACGAAAAATGAAATTCATGTAAATTCAAACATTTGTTGAAAATGGTGAATCCAAGCTTAACGTACGAAATTTTATTGTATTTGAATTCGTTTTATTTCGGAATGTTTGCTGCTTGTGAATTTGGGATGGGACTTTTAAAAGCTGTGAATTTAGCATATGCTGAAAACAAACTTGCTCTGGATGCTGGACTGATGATATTATTATTTGTTATTGAAACATTAAGGATATATTTAGGCAGAAAAGGAAATTTGAGTGAACATGGTTTGTATTTTTATGGAAACATGTGTTTTAACTTCCATCCACTTATTTTTCACATGCATATATGATATGTGTATGTACCCTTAAGGACATCGAGACATAACAAAGGATCTAAGGAAAAACCTTAATATTGTTTTATTACATTAACTGGAACCTGCATAATACTAGAAAATTTTATCCCTTTTTTCCATCTGTATATATAAATATATATGAATATGAATAAACTATGTAAAGGCATTATATTGAGTAAGAAAGGAAAAGATTACAAATCTTGTTTATTTTATCGTAAGTTTTAGACATACGTCTTTGTCATTATCAATGGATGTAAGCAATTTTAAGAACAAGATCAAAATTAATACAAAATATTAATATTATCATAATACTGGCACTAATTGTGGATTAATTAGTAATTAATGTAAGAACAATTTATTCAATACCTGAGGCAGTGTCGGGATCTGTTTTATGCCTTCTATAAGTTCATTCATATATTTCAAAATTAACATGAACTATATGAGCCGCTCAGTGCACACATCGACTAACTCCACTTTTTGAAAAAACTGAGATATTAGTGGGAAAGAACTTGGTATAATCATAACTTTTAGTATTTATAATAACTTTCCGGAATAATAAAGATTAGCACCGTTAAATGGCAAATTTTTTTTGGCCATTGAATAATAAGTAATTTATTTCAGAAGCCATTTCGATTAACTCTGTATAATGTAAATCGTTTCAGTAACGCTGTATCTGTTCTGGCCGTGCATCGACGCTTCTACATTTATATTTGAATTCATATTATCAGGGAAATTTTAAAAAACAATATACATTAAATCATCGCGTTTCTCAACTTTTTGTTTTATGGAGTTAATCGATGTGTGTACTAAGCGGCTCATATATATACTACGTTGAAAGTGTTTCTGAGCATCAATCCAATAATAACACAATTTAATAAAGAAGATGGTCTTTATTAGAATAGCATATGTTTAGAGTCTTGGTTTGACCCATCTTTAGTGTATACAAAGAATTCAAACAAAAATGAGAATCACTAAGTAAGAAGTAACTGAAAAAAAAAAAAAAAAAAATAGAATAAAGTAAATAAGTTATATAGAAAGAAGACTTGTAAAGGTACGGTTTTGTGATCATTTTGAACTCTTTGAATACAAATGAGTAATCACCTATTGCAAGGTTTTTATGAGGCTCGTAAACGTCATGGAAATAGGATGGGAACAATGATATCTTTGTTATAAACCAAAAAAAAATTAACATTAAAATAAAGCAAATAAGTTATATAAAAAAACTTGTAAAGGTACTTTGTGATCTAATTAAATATTAATATTATTTTTTTTTTGTTTCATAACTTTGTGTACATTTCAATTAGTGCTTCTCATTTTTTGTTTTGTTTGAATTAATTCTATGCACTGAAGATGAGTCAAACCAAGATTTGAAACATAGGCTATTCTAACAAAGAAATTCTTTCTCATTAAATATTTTCATTATTGGATGGATGCCCGAAAGCGCTTCATTATGTATCTTCCACAACCTAAAAAAACCACACACTTATATGTACAGAACTATATATATGTGTGTGTGTATATATATATATATATATATATATATATATATATATATATATACAAGCACTGCTTTTCCATTATTATTGTTAATTGTTCAAATAACTAGGCTCCTGCATGATATCTTATCACTCGCTTCTATAGCCATTTAATAGGATTTGCTATTTATTATGATTATTATTTGGTTATAATATTTAATTGCAAATGCTAAAATAAATGGTATATACTTGAATATATATAGTACATAAAAGCAATAGTATTATGAAATAAAAGTACCACTCACAGTAAACCTAACATACACAGTTAAAATTTACATACACGCCTATTTTAAACTCAGAAATTGTATGTTGCACTTTTATGCAACATTAGTTGCAAAGCATATTACATTTAAACTAAAACCAAACTATTAGTTGAAAAAAATATATTCAAAAACTTTTATTATCGCTTTTTTTTGTTGCTTTGGAACACGTATCCCAAACATGTAATCACTAATGAACATATTTAGCACAATTAGTTTTGACAGTTAAAACCTTCAGATATAGTTTGTTGTAATCTATTACAAAAATTTAAGCAAAAAAATGAGTGGACTAAATTATTTGGAAATGGAAAAATGTAGAATATTGTGAATCTGTTATAACAAAAGCATTTACATGTGGTACAATCTCTTTCAAAATGATTGAGACTATTCCCCAACAGAATATGAAAAAAGATATTCGTAATTCTTAAGCATGTTGTGTATTTCAACTGACACAGATTAATTTTCTTCCAGATAAAACTGTTTGCATTTCAATATTCCTAACGATACCTTCAGCAATTGGAGTGTCATATTTTCTGATTTTCCAATCTTTTATTCTTCGTCTGGAATATATACTTTGCTCTCTGATGTTGGCTCTACAGGGAGCAGAGCTGTTCTTTGCTATAATGTATGTGTTCACAATGTGCCAGCCACCTTCTTATGATTAGATAAAAATATTTATATATTAATATTTTTTGTAACAAGTTTTGCACCGAAAACATATAGAGAAGACTTTTTATAAAAATATTATTCTATTATATAATATTTAGCACTGTCTTTATTATCACATCATTAGGAATAAGAAAAAAGTGTATATAGATTATAAATCCTGAATTGATCTGCATGAATTTAAATTATGCAAGAAGCCATCAATTCTTACTCCAATATTTAGTACGAAAGTCTAAAAATGCCTTAAATAATATGTTTTAAATGGTATTCAATATATGTAAATTTAATGTTAGTAAATGAATACTGAAGAAAGGTTAAATAACATGCGTTTAATTTTTAATTGATTTATACATACTAAATTAAAAAACTATATTACAACTTTTGGCTTATTCTCCAAATTCAGTCTCTTTTGATTAATAGACTTCAACCTCTGATTACAATAAACTCTAAGAAATATCGCACAAAACACTAGTAGTACACCAAATATTCCAAGGGCTGTTATGCTATGCCCATAGACTATGCATGATAAAAGTATAGCTATAGCCTAAAATAATGCATCAATTAAATTTTGGTTGCTGAGTTTATTTAAAAATTTAATTAAGAAATAAAATTATCAATTTATACCTGTCTGAGCGTCATTATAATAGTAAAAACCACTGGTCCAAAAGTAGCAATGGTGAAATAAACAAAAAGTTGGCCACTAGCTGAGCTTATTGACAATAAAATGCAGTCCCCTATAAATTTCTGGTGCTATTAAATAATAATGTTCATTTTATATTAATTTTTGGCCCAAGAGATAATTTTGAGAATAAATATGGGTTTTTGCATTATGTTACCTGTGTCATAAACATAATTGATTCCATGAATCCGCCTTGTTGCAATAGGGAAATTAAAGTAAACAATGCGCTAAACAAGTTAACACCACACATCATTTGGATTGAACTCATTGAATATTTTTTAAACAATGCACCTTGCCAATTTGATGTAAAACTGTCAAATAACATGTATAATGATAGTAATATTACTCCTGACATAGTGGTCGCTGAATTACCTGAAAAAATAAATTAATTATTTTCTCAATGCAGTTGTACCTCGACTCACGAGTGACCTAACCTGTTTTGAGATACGGGCGCCAACAAAGCGTTCGACATGCGAGCAAAATTCGAGGTACAAGCATTGAGCGAGTAAGCGTTTTCTCGAACAATGCTCATAACAAAACAAAGATATGAAACATATTTTAAATCATGGACAAATATTGCTTTGTATTATGGACATATAGTCATCTTATATTGAGATGATTAGTAATACCTTGATTACCTTAAAACTACCTTTTAAAGCTAATATATTTGTAACATGTTTTTGCACCTTTGCAATAGGCAAATTTCTATCTGCATATTATTTTAAATTAATTCATAGACTTTGATACCACCTCAAAGCCATATTTTAAATGAACTCTGATTACATACCTTTATGATCGCTTGTACTTCCAAACAAGAAAAATACCATACCAATACAGATAAGTGCTGCAGTAATATATTCATAATTTTCATATTTAACACGTGATATTATTTTTCCCATTGCCATAACTGGTAATATTTTACAAGATTTTGCTAAAACCTAGAATAAAAATATTAATTAAATAATGACAACTTTATTATGATACACAAATATAACCAATTACCTGCGTTGGAAAACTAACATACTTCAAAGCTTCATACTGGCTCCAGGCGCTCATAATATTTGAGAAGGAACAGAAGGAATACTTGTATAGAGGAGCCCTGTGTCTAGGCTGTTTTCTAATTGAAATATAAATTAATGCAAGTATAAACGATAAACTACGATTGATGAATACTAAAAATTGTGAATCATTAAATGTAGTTTTCTTTCCTTCACTGTTTATGTACTCCTGAAAAATATCAATTGTTCGTTTTTTAAGTTTCTATATTAATATAGCATTTTAAAATGGGATGCCACTGCAGTTGATCAAAGCTGGATAATTTGTTACTATTTGTAATTGAAATAATAATTGTTAGCGTTATGAAAATCATAATAGGTGGATGTTAAAATGTTGAAACTAAAATAAAACTATTGTATGAATAAGCAAATTATTAAGCAGAATTGAGTTAATATAGTTAATATATGAAACGAACATGAGTCATAATCTCCTCCTGGTATAGTCCCCATGTTAGATATGATCCCATTAAACCCGTTAGGCAAACAGTCAGGAGCGAGCATTCTTCTAGAAAGCTTTTCTTTGTATTAAGGTCAGCCTTGCTCAAAGTTTGAGACTGCGTATCACCTAGTTTTTCTTGCTCTGACAAACACATTCGTGTCAAACACGAAACATACCCAGAGCCTAAGAACAGTCAATAATTAAAGTAGAATTAAGTATATTATCTTCACAATATTATAAAGGTAAATATTAATATACAATATTTCTTTCACATATAATTAATCAATGCAATTTAAAACTAAATTTCGCTAATAGAAAAAAATTATGTTGAATGTTAATATATTATAAAGGTAAATATTAATATACAATATTTCTTTCACATATAATTAATCAATGCAATTTGCAACTTAATTTCGCTAATAGAAAAAAATTATTTGAATGTTCAAAGAATGGTTAATATTCTAGGAAGAAAAAATGTGTTTAATTCAAACTTTGAACTGAAACCAAAATATTTAACGTCTTGACCAAGTAAATATGTATATCAACCAACAAATTTTGTAGAATGTAATAATTTAAAATAAACTGATATACACTTCTCTACATCAATATTAACGTAAAGTGAAAGCATGCGGTGCAATGCGAATAATACAAATTAATGAATATAAAATAAAAAGAACATAATAATAAAAAGTTGTCAGGGTATATGAAACATCTTGAAGCCTCCGGAACACTATAGAAATATCATTATGTTGAAAAGCTACAAGTTTTGAAAAATACATTGTACATTTAATAGCACATACCTGCTCTGTCAAGATAGTTAGTTTTGTGTACATATTTATTGATGATATATAAAGGTCCAAAAATGGATACATATCCAATGCAATTAAGTCCAAGTCTTAATAGCCAAGAATATTCTTTCGGCTGATTATTAATTATTTGTGATAAAGAAATTTCTGAAGATCCAACTGCATTATGTATAATTTGTGAGAATAAAAATACTGTTCCAACACATCCTGCTATCAACAAACTGTAAAATAAACATTTATGATAATTAAATTCGAATGGTATTGGAATGTTTTATATCACGTTGTAAGAATATACCATATTATAATTTCAGGAATATTATTAGCCATTATTGGGACGTGCGTCAAATCGTAAAATTTAAATGCATATTAGTTATATGTTGTAAAAATTGATCTAGTTTCAGTAATCACATAATTCATGTTTAAATAAAGATTAATTATAAAGCCTGAGCTTTAAAATTGACAGAGGAATTCTGTCAAAATCAGTCCACGTTAGCAAGAAATCTTTGACAGAAGACGATCTTTTTTGTGTGGGTATAAATTCAAATTGATTGAGTCATAATAAAATGTTATAAAAAAAAATTGCGTAAAATTAGTGTGCCTGTTTGAATTTTTGTATTTCATTAAATAAAACAAAATAAAAAAAAATTGTATAAATTAATTATCTTTGACAGTTTTCGAAAAGCATCTGCTGAGGCACTATAATCATTTTATAATCTACGTAACGAAATTATTTCGAATAAAAGTTATTTACACAAATACAGTTCAATATTAAATTTCAAAATATGAGTGAATTAGTATGGGCAATCAAGAATGGTGATTTGGAGCAGGTTAAAGATATCGTAGAAAATAAAGTAAGTTACATTTTAACCTATAACATGTCGGAGCATTATTTATGATTATATTATTAACTATATTAGTTTTGTCATTTGTAGAACATCGATATCAATCTGGTGATCGACGGGAGACCTCCTTTACATTATGCGGCGGATTATGGACAAACTCAAGTGATCACTTACCTGTTGTCCAAAGGGGCAAATGTTAATGTAAGTCAACACAAAACACTATATTTTATATTGTTTTTAATAATGTTCACCATGTTCACTCTTTTGAAAGTACTTTGTGAGAAATAATTAAAACTATCCTGTTAGCACTATCATTCATCCTACCTTTTATTAATAATAGAACTATAAATATTGTAATTGGTCTCAAGTGCTAATGTAGTCAAAGATTTTCATACACTGAGTTCTGCTTAAGAAATTTACCAACACATAGAAATTTTTTAGTTATGAATATATTGAGTACATGATTGAACTAATTTGCTCTCTTTCTGTTTTGTATGCTTCTCTGTTGTTCTTATACTTTTTTTTAACATTAATTATTGAATTAGTGGGGTGCATGGCATCGTGCCCCAAGCCAAATTGCTGGAACTTCTTGTACCATAATTAAAAATCTTGGTACGGAACCCAAAAAAAATTACACAAAATTGTACACATTATAAAAATCTCTATAAAATATCTGATAATTTGATGTGCATAAGTCCAATAAACATTTTTGACCGCCAAATGAAATTTTTTTAACTTATTTTTATTGAGTCCATAACCGCTGGACCTGCCTTCCTAAAAATTTCAGTTCTTCATCTTGCCAATGCAAGTAAAATGTTTTTTGAATTATTAAAATCGGACGTTCCGTTCTCTTAAAAACTGAGTTACCGTTTTTGGCACTTTTTGCCCCGTATCTTCGGAACGGCTAGATCTGCCTCCGCCAAAAACTAATCAGCACGTTTCCTTATCAATTCAAATCGAATGTTTTTTGAATTATCCAAATCGGTTGATCCGTGTTCCCGAAGTCGCCGACGAAAATTTGTATCCGCACACTCCGTGTGCCAAAATGTTCAGAAACTTCTGAAACGTAAAGATATATAAAAATTTTCATTTTCGATTTTTTTTGCCATTACTATAACTTGCCCTACAGTAAGTCAATAATTAATATTATTTATTAATTTTGTAAAATATAATGTGTGTTAAGAAATTAATTAATACCATTATGCTTATGTATAATACTTTGTTAATTTTGATATCCATAATTATAGGCAGAAGATAAATATGGAATAACCTGTTTGTTAGCAGCTATCTGGGAGGGTCACACCGACTGTGTACGGATTCTACTAAATAATGTAATATAAAGGTTTCTTTGATAGTAACATTATCATTGTAACTTCTTTTTATTATGCACACCTGATGTTATTCTGTTTTATAATAAGATTGAGTAATGTTTCCTTATTTCTAACAGGTGCTCAACCATATTACATTTTTATATCAGTACAGTAAAAAAAAACACTTTAACAAAAAATGAATCACTATTTCTTTATGACAGTGTTGCTAAAAGTTTAAGATTTTTTTAATATTCCAATAAGTTTAATAATCATTAATTTATATGCAGGGTGCTAATGTTCAAGGTAGAACTCCTGATGGAACAAGTTATATTGACGCAGCAGAAAAACCAGAAATTAAAGCTCTCCTGGCATAAATTTTAAAATTATGTATTATTAAGATCATAAGTTCTATATGTAAACATATACATTTTTTGAATATATATGTTTACATATATTACATTTTGTATCAAAATAGATGTGATTACTAAAAGCATATTTAACAACGGGCATATTCATATTTAAAATATTTTTACATGTCACCATCTCTGATGACTTTTATCTTATTAAGTTAGATAAATCACATTTTCACTATACAGAATGAACTAATCATTGATTGACTGAAATTCGTATCGATATCTATTTAATATTTTTATAAGTTTATGAAAAAATAGAGATAATTTGCAATTTCCTTCAAATAAGATTATCATTAGTCAAGAAATTTCCTATGCTAGTTTAAGGATATATCAGTAAAAGGTCATTTTATTGATATTTATTATTTAATATTTATGCATTTTTATAAGTTACATATATGAAACTAACAAATATAATAAATTTAAACCAACCAATAAGTACACATATAGTGTAGTGAAAGGCTTTTGTAGTTAGTTGTTGAAGATTCATGCTTATGTGTGCAAATACATTTTTATATTTATGAACAAAGAAAATGTTTTATTTTTCATTGTGTGCTTAAATACTTAACGTTTAGCTAACACAAATAACAAGCTTATTTGAAAACTAAAAACGTAGTATCAACTAATTTGAACTAGATTAATCGTATGATTATAATGCATAATTTCAATGCTATATATATATATATATATATAATTCTCTGAAAGTTTCAGCTCTTAATATTAACGTTTAGATAGAGCGCAATTCAGTCAAAGTTTGTATGGAAAGAGCATGGAAAAAATTTTGAAAATTAAAAAAAAATGTGTTAGGTATAACTCAGCGACAAATGAATGAGTTTTATTCATTCATTTGTTTGCTAAATTACATCTAAAAAACATTTTTAAAAATCTTGAAAATTTTTCCATGCTATTTCCATACAAAACTTTGATTGAATTGCGCTCTATCTAAACGTTAATATTAAGAGCTGAAACTTTCAGAGAATTGTTTTTTATCTATTTGGAACCATTTGAGCCCCTGGGAGCAAAGAAATTCGAAAATGACCATTTTAAGGACCACCCTAATATATATATATATATATATATATATATATATATTAAAAAAAATTCAAAGAAACGGTTCCATGGATATGATTGTTTAAAAAAAAAAAAAAAAAAAAAACAATTGGTTTTGGCAGATCCAGCAGGTTCAAACCTAACAGAAAAAATAACTAAAACTGATATACATTTAAAGAAAATAATCAAGGGTTTAGAGATATGAAGGAAAAACTGCCATTAACAGTCCTTTGCCGGTGAAAAACAGACATTAAATTATCACATTTTTACACATATTTAATTTATATGCAAAATTTTTATTAATAAATTTTTTGATCCGGTGTCAATATTCAACATTTTCAAACCTCACTTCTGTATTTCGAAAGTTTTTGAATTACAATAAGAATTAGTCCATCCTACCACACCATTTTTGAATTATGATGTAAAATATTATTGTTTTGAATGTTTCAATATAGCAACTGAATGAGAGTTGAATGATTGTATATGCATTGCAAGTATTTTCTTTAAATGTAGGCAGTCATGCATCCAAATTATAGCTTGGAGTTGACATGATATTGAAAGCTGAGATATTAAATATGCTCGTAAATGCATCTTTAAATTAATATAGTAAAAGCGAAAATGGCAATAAAAAATTTATATAAATTTAACTCAACTTACTGATCTGCCTTTATTGGTGTAAATCAAACAATATACAATTATACGCTTGTAATTAAATTTAATCTTTTTTATATTCACTTCTTTATCAAAATTTAATATAAAAGATATAATTATATAGTGTATAAATAATTATGCAGCATACTCTTTAAGTAGCTGGCCAGCAATTACTAATCGCTGTATCTCAGATGTACCTTCATATATTTCAGTAATTCTAGCATCTCTATAATGCCTTTCTGCGGGCATATCAGTGACATAACCCATGCCGCCTAGAATCTGAATGCATTGATGCGATAGATAGGTAGCCGCCTCAGAAGCAGACAGTTTTGCCATAGCTGCTTCTTTTGAATAAGGCTGATGTTGATCTTTAAGCCAAGCGGCTCTCCATGTTAATAATCTGGCAGATTCTAATCTCAAAGCCATTTCGGCCAGTTTTTCTTGAATTGCTTGTAACTTTGAAATTGGTTTTCCAAAAGCCGTACGCTTTTGTGCATATTCTATCGCGCATTCTAACGATGCTTGAGCTATGCCTTTATACAAAATTTTTAATAAATTTTAATATTAATCTAATCGATTTTCTATAATATCAGATAAAACTTTCTAATAAATTACCTAGTGCTTGAGATGCAATACCTATCCTTCCTGAATCTAAAGTCATCATAGCGATTTTAAAACCCATTCCTAATTCTCCAAGTAGATTTTCTTTTGATAATATACAATCCTCAAATATTAAGCTGCATGTAGATGATGCACGTATGCCTTAAAAATAACCAGAAACTTAGACAAGCAAGAAGCATGATAAAAAATTTATTCTCTTTACTGACAGGGCAGAATTTCCAAATTAATTCATCAATCATTTTATAGTAACCACCATAATAAAAACCAATCCTTCGGCTTGAATATTCAAATCAAATATATTATTACAATTACCTAATTTATCTTCCTTCTTTCCCACTGTTAGCCCATTTATTGGTTTTGGTAACAAAAATGCAGAAATGCCTTTGTGTTTGAGTGATTTATCAGTTGTTGCAAACACCACGACCCCTTCGGATTCATAGCCATTTGTTATCCAAGCTTTTGTACCATTTAATACATATTTATCATCATTATACTTTGCTACAGTAGATGCAGCACCTGCATCTGAACCATTGCCTGGTTCAGAAAGTGCAAAGCATCCTACTCGATCACCTAAATATGATAAAAGATTTTATATGTAGGTAATAGAACGTATTATCAATATTCACAATTAGGGCAAGAAGTGAATGTAATATATACAATAAAATAACATATTGGCTCTTCTGAAAAAGCCCAAAGCAAAGTTCGAATACTGGTCAAGATTTGTGTCAAAAATTCACAAGATGAGCAGCCATGAATGAGGTCAAATTTGGATTGGGAAAAGAAAAAGGAGGTAGAGATACATCTTACATACACAGCCCGTATATATCATAGTATATAATTTAACACAGCTTCTGCGCTTGTTTTTAGATTAGCAAAAAAAAATTCACAGGGTTATTGAAAACGATTGATATTACTTGGAAAGATTGGAGGCTGATACAGATATATTGATTATAATAACAGTAATAATATATATACATATGTATAATATATATATATATATATATATATATATATATATATATATATACATAATATATATAAAGATATGAAAATTTTAACAACCTGTTGTGAATGGTGTAACATATTCTTTCTTTTGCTTTTCATTTCCAAAAGCTAATATTGGGCCAATATATAAAGAATTATTAACTGACATAATTACACCAGCAGAAGCACATCCGCGAGATATTTCTTCCATTGCAATACTATAAGCAAGATAATCCAATCCTGCTCCACCTATATTATTTATTAATTTATATAAAATCTAAATCTTTAATTTTTATTCAAATGCAAAGATATTAATTTATGGATAATGAATATTATTTCATCCTCATGCATTACAATAAAAACAATTACAATTGTGCATTTATTTTATTATCGTTTTTAAGTTGCAAATGATAAAAAAACATTAAATTTGATATAACTCTATAATATAGCATCTTCCAAATTACATTTCAGTTACAAGTCAAGTTGTTAAACAAATTTGCTGCTAGAACGGTTTTTGTAAAATAAGTGAATTTAAGTAAATAAATTTAATTTATACATATAGAGGTATATACAAACAATATTGTGCTTGTTATCATTTCAACAATTTTGTAAAAAATAGGGATACCTAGATCCTCTGGTACTGCCATAGCCATTAATCCTAATTCTCCCATTTTTTTAATAACGTCTTTGGGGTATGTGTGTGTTTTATCATATTCAGAAGCTTTCGGTTTCAATTCACTATCAGAGAAATCCTTACACATTTTGTAGAGCATCTGATGGGTCTCTGGTAAGGCAGACATGCATGCAATATTTCTAGTATTCTCTTTAGTCCAAACTGAAAATATTGATATATGAAACGAATGCATCTAATAGAGTCTTATATGTTAAAATCGTCACATTACTATTTCTTAACAAACACAGCATTTTTCTCGAGAACATGATTAAATTATTTATGTAATATTTATAATATAGAAGAAACAAAATCGAAGTTTAATCACAAATATTCGTTAACGTTTAATAATATAACCTATAAAAACTATGATAATAAAATCTGAATATTTTGCAATGTATTCACAATAAAGAAGCAAAAATAAATTCAAATCTTAAGAATAAATAACCACATATAAAATTTCATTGTAATATTGTCAAAAACTATTGACAATGGCAAGAACGGCCGAAAAATAAAACAAAACAATGATAGTGTTTATTTTTGTCTGCACAAAGTCTATCGTGACCAGGGTTTAACAACCTGTAGTCAAAAAGGAATAAATAGAACATAACGAATAATAAAAAATATTTCTAATTTCTATCATAGTTTATTTCGCGAATGTCTTGGTTTATTTGAATATAATTTACTTAAATTTTCATGACAAGCATTTACCATTACACAAAAGAGTTCATAAACTAGCATAATTGTACTTTTGAAATTAAATTTTGTACATCGAAACTTAAATAGGTATTTTGGTATTTTTTAAAAAACCAATAGTATCAATTTATTGTTTTATTTAATTACAGTTCTAAAACTTCATATTTTGACATTTTTAATTTAATTCTTGAAAATAACGCAAAATGTTTTCCTCCGCTTGCAAACATAGAATAGTAGACTTTAAACCTGAATTAATGCATTTATCTTGTCATTTGTAAGTATTTTGTTGACTTTTGAGCGGTGATCGCAACCTTTTTCTTGTTTTATTTAAATGCGTTCGTATGTTGCATTATAATGCACCCTTAGGCTCATGTATACGTTGAAATTTATGATCAACCTTATTTTGGTCGACTTTTTTTAGGGTTGTTTGATTATAAAATTTGAAATAAGAGCCACTTTGAAGCTTTTATGTTATTGTAGCTATTAACAATGTTAAGATTAACATAGATGGTGAAAATTACAACTAACCTTTTTAACTTTAATTATTTACATATCAATACAATTAATAGAAAAGGAACATATTAGATACATATATTTTTACTTATAAATATAATTTTACGATATATAATGTAAATGTATATTTTTCATTATTCTAATTATTTGCTATAGTTATATATTTCTGAAATATTTTGAAATGTCTTTATTTCTCCATACTTTTTCAATATCCCATTTGTTTATGAATACAATTTAAATATGATTATTTTATGATGCATTGCACTTTTTTAACTACACATTTATATGATAATTGATTTGTATGAATTTGTGAGTTTATTATTATACATTTTTGCTAACATGACTATAACTGAACATGTTAATTGCTTGAAATTGTCTCAAAACTGATTAAATTCTAAATGTACTTGGTTTTCCCAAAAACTCTAATTGTGGATCAGTCAGATTTAAAAATTGTTCTTCATGCTAGTGTAATTTCGTTAAGAATATAGTTAATAAATATATTTTAGAACTTGTGCTTCTATCACAAAGCTACAGGGAAAGATAACTACAAACAAAAACGAAAACTAGCATTATAAAATCGAATTTTACTTATAATTAGACCTAATAACTGAGAGCGCGAAAAGTATATGGAAATTCATTATGACTATCAGTTTGTTAGTATTTACCATTTTTATTATTCACCATTATCATTAAGTTGAGAACTAAAATGTGAAGGACTAACATAATATACAACCTATTTAATTATTTGAACATATTATTTGAACATTCAACTGTATATAAAAATATTTGTACGAGATTTAATATCATTAAGGAAGAAATGTTCCAAACGTGCGTCTATGAGGTACATACTCATTAAAAATTTCATTTATCACCTCACGTTGGCCACTGGCCATTGCCCATGCACTTTTCTCTATGCAATAACTTTTATGCATTATATGGTGAAATTTCATCACACATGAGAAAAGAAATTAATCGTCGAATTCCTCATCGTCAGTGATAAATTTGCATTACAAAGGGGACTACTAAGAGCCGATTTATCATCGCATAGAATACCAATCCAAATTAACAACATAACAGTTTATATAAATAAAGTAATCGCATTTCCCTCTGTTTCCATTGTCATCACTTGAAAAAAACATCTTGCATTATTCTCATATTTCTACTGCAGGTGCTTGGTCTGCAACATTGTTTCCTGATGAAGCTATAGAGACAACGGTTGGCACAGCAGACAAAAGATGCCGAGTAGAACTCGAGGAACTATAACTATCATTACTCGATCGTATGCTTGCATGGCTGTTATTACTTTGAGGAGTGCCTGGCGTTGAAGATAATTGTTGATGATGATCATGTTGTCTTAGAGAAGGATTCCATCTTTGCGGAGTACTGTCAGCACTGATAGCAGCTTGACATGGATTAGATTGATGAGGTGGTGGGGTACCTTGCCTGTTCACACTCAGATGCTCCATCGATTTATTCTATATATGAAAAATAATTAGAAATTATTATATAAAAAATTGTGTATAATTTTATATATTTGAAAGCACATACTGTGCAACTAATTAATTAGTTTATAAAATTTACATTTTTAATTTTTTCTACATACAATTATATAAGTATTTCCTGAAGGAGATGCTTTTGCAAAAAAATCTGATTTGCTAATTTTAGGTTTCCTTGATGTTTCAAGCCATCCTGAATCGAATGAGTCCAAATTTGTAAAATGTATGTATTTGTGTATGTGATCCGATTTTGGACCTTTTGTAGACGTTTTTTGCCAATGATCGGCCAAGCCGTTTCTTTGTAATTAGCAGAAAAGTGGAAATTTTTTGTCCATGTTTTGACCCACAATCTTGATTCGATTTTAAAAATTCAAAAACTGTTGCAAGGTATGAGTTGGGAATCGGTGGGAATTTGTCCACTTCCCTGCTAATTATAAATAAACGGCTTGGCCGATTGTCGCGCAAAACTGATCAATGCTAGTCCTTATCGAGTTACATGGAATAGCTTTCACAGTTTTTAAATCGGTCCTACAGTTTGTGAGAAAAAGTCGACGAAAGGTCGTCAAAAATCGGCTCACACACACACAAACTTTTTCCAAATTTGGCCTCATTTGATTCAGAATGACTTGAGACTTCTCTCTCGTGATGTCAATAAAGGAAAAATTCCTTTTTACACAAAAATCTAAGATTTTAATGCATTTATTAATACCTTATCTAAGAATATGGGACTAAGAATTGTAGTTTGTGGATCTTCTGGTGTGTAGTAATCAGAATCCTCTCCAGCTGCTAAAACAGCAGTATCGCCATCAACCAAAACCTGACGGTTAGAGCGTGTCTGATAAAGTAATAACAATTAGATAAAAAAATATGCTATTTGCTGACAACATATTTGTTTATATTGATCAATGATTAAAAGTTACAATAAATTTTTCAGGTTAGAGCGTGTCTGATAAAGTAATAACAATTAGATAAAAAAATATGCTATTTGCTGACAACATATTTGTTTATATTGATCAATGATTAAAAGTTACAATAAATTTTTCAGGTTAGAGCGTGTCTGATAAAGTAATAACAATTAGATAAAAAATATGCTATTTGCTGACAACATATTTGTTTATATTGATCAATGATTAAAAGTTATAATGAATTTTTCAATTTATTATAAAACTTACCAATAACTTATTTTTGTCAACATTAGCTGACTTACTATTTTCCACTTCATCTAAATCTGTATCAGTGTCATCAATTGATTCAATAACTCCATCTGAATGTAAATGTTAATACCTCAAATTATAATCATATAAAAAATTATATATATATATAATGCCGACTCGAAAATTTCCTGATTCGAGTGATTCAAATCAGAAAAAAACCTGATTCGAATCAAGTTCATATATGAACAATTATAATTTAAGAGAAGAAATAATATAATTTTAATAATTTTATAAGTGAAATAATTAATTTAGTAAGCAATTAATTCCAAAAAGTGCAGAGATGAATACATTTATATTATGTATATATAATAATAAACTAGCTACAAATATAACTAATATTTCAAGTGAATTTACAGTAAAATATAACCAAACACTTCTCTATAGCATATAAAACAATATTCATTAATTATTAACTAAAGCATATAAAACAATATTCTTAATCTTACGTTGAACAAATGCATGTGTATATTATTGATTGTGAAACAGGGGGCTGAATCTAACGTCTTACGAATGACTTAAAATTCAATCCACTACTGTAATGATTGATATTATTTCATTTGTGTGAATTTGCCATTACTTGCATAATTAAAATATGTTAATTTTGTATGTGTATAAAACTCGTTGTGTAGTTTATTTTGATAATAATTAAAATCTAAATCGCGTATTTATTATCTAAATGAGTTTTTGATATTCCATGAACAAATTTGCTCTCAGCGCTTAGTGAAAAATAAACAAACACCCAAGACCCATACGCACTGCATCTCGATAAGTCGATACGCTAAAACACGGACACATGTTTTGAACTCAAGTCGGAATGATTCAGTTTGAGTCATAGGAACTCGGATGAATTCATATCGACTTGAAGTCGAGATGAGTCGGTTTAAGTCATATAGAGTCGGATGGTATTGTTAGACAATAAATGCGGTTAAAGTCATATAAATTGGAGTCGGGTGCAGTCGGGTGATACATTTAAGCGAATTAAAGCCGGGTGACTCGCATGATTTAATTCAAGATTTATTTTTTATATTTATTATTATTATTTTTTATATTTATTATTATTATTATTTATATTATTATAATATTGAATTAAATTAAAACATTTTTTTATATTTATTAAAATTTGTGTTCACACATGTTTTATCACAGTAAATATTTCGCAGCTTGATACGAGTTGATTCGAATCAAGTAAAAACTGATTCGAATCAAGTCGTTAAAGGCTTGATTCGAATGATTCGAATCACTTGATTCGACTTGGCACATCACTAATATATATATATATATATATATATATATATATATATATATATATATATATATATATATGTATATATATATATATTATGCATTATACATATATATGGCATACTCACCCATATGTAAAGGAATAATTTCGGCACTAGTCATGGTAGCGGCATCTAATAATGGAGACAGTTTCTCAGATTCACTATCAGTGTCTTGGGTATCCTGATTATCCAAATTTTCCTGGTCAACCTTTTCTTGAAGCTTGATTTTTTCATTCACATGTCTTAATACATCTCTTGATTTTGGTGCTGGTTTTGTCTTATGTCCATTTGGATTCAATAATGGACTCTGTGTAGACGTTGATTCTTTAATATTTTGGTCTTCGCGTGATAATAACACTGACATGCGAATCTAATAATAAAAATAATACCACATATAGAATGAAAAAAATGAGTAAACAAAAAGCACCATAAAATAGGTAAATAAATTTGTAAGTTTAATTAGAAAATAGTCTATGATAAAAACAGCTGCACTATCACATCATTAGTACTTAATAAATAAATAAATAGTAATAAATGATATGCCTCAATAGATCTGAGCGGAACAACTAATGTCTTAGCATGCATATGAACTTGATAATAAAGATTTCTCAAATAAATTTGCGTAAGTATAGATAATTTTATTAAAGAAAATTTATGTTAAATTGCACAGAACTTTTAACCTTTTATAAAAATAGAATAACCAATAATTTGAAAAACAAAAGCATCTACCTCTGGAGCATTATGGGATGTGTTATTTTGTCGATTCTCTTTATTTTCAGTTCCTCGAGGATTTGTATAACGCATATTGTTTGTTCTTTCTAAATTTGATCGATTGAGAACTTCAGCAGCTTGTGTTTGAACTTCCGTATCTGGACTGTCAATATCTATCGCCTTTAAAATAAAGTTAGTAGTAGTTAAGTTAACATTGTGAGATATTATTACATTCTTTATTTTAGTACCTGATTGGAAACAATAATCTGAGAACGTGGCATACAGCTGGGACCATTTAGAGCTTCTATTAGGGAGACATGTTCATAACCAGCTGGTATATTCTCACAAGAGCCCTGAATGCACAAAAATAATAATTCATTATTATTTAGAAACTTTCACTATTTTCTAATAACATGATCGGTGTAGCAAGATCAACAGAAATGCATTGAGATACTTCTATAATATAAATGAACCATACTTTTATTTGATTAACTGATATTCTAAAACAAATGTTTGAATAATACAGTTAATAATATTTATATTCATTATGAAAAAAATGTAATATTACCAATTTTTATTGTCATCAATTTCAATGTAAAAAAACATCATTAAAATATAAGCCGATTCAAATATTTAATTGAATACAAACCTCAACTGGTTGGGGTAAAGGCTGAGGTGCTGGTATGCCAGCACTGCCTGCTCTTCTTAAAGCTCTGATTTGTAAGAGAGCTCGAAATGGTGCTCTGCATATAGGGCAATTATTTGCCTGATAACGTAATGAATCAGCACAACCATTGCACAGGCACAAATGCCTGCAGGGCAGGATTAATGTATCTCTGACATCACACATGCAAATCACACATTCACTTCCATTATCTTCTGTATCTTCTGAATCACCAGACTATAAAAGAATTTAATTTTTCATACTATATCAGTAGTACATACTCATCATTTTTAACAATTGCTAAATAGCATACCTTATTAGAGTCATTATTTTTGTTTTCAATACCATATATTTCTTGCAATAAATAACAAAGTCCGTCCACAAAAAGCTTTTGTTTCAGTGCTTTTAATACATATGTGCCATCAGAGTGTTTTTCTACTACAGCTATTGTTGAATGAGATTGTCGGGGCTCTATTAAAACACATTATATATATATATATATATATATATATATATATATATATATACATATATATATATGTGTTGAGTCCAAACATATGATCAACACAAGCTAAAGTTATATTTAATCAAATCAATAAGCACAAACTATATGTTGATTTTGTGCATTATCCTGTTAATAACAAATAAATGTTCACTCGAGAAAAATATTCAAAGTTTACTGCTATTTAGTAGTATATATCAAAAATAGTTAGAATATTACAATTATTACAAAAATAATTAGATTTATTACTCACCATCTCCACCTTCTTCAGCTAAACAATGTATGACAATAGGCATTATTTCTCTATCTGCATTATAAGACAACTCATCATCTGAATACTTCGAAGGCTCAAAAACATGTAAAGGTTGACTAAATTGTTGACTTGAACCTCTTTTATAATGATAAGTTTCTGAATTTAAGGACACATCTTGTGATGTATATCTATAAATTTCATAAAGTAAATTTATTTATTAGTCTAATGCCAAAATTGTTTATAAGTAATCAAAAATAAAATTAAAATAAAATCCTACTTACGTAACTCCATTGAGTCCAAAATCTTCCACACAAAAGTAATATATGGTTATTGCACATTTTGCATCAGCATCAAAAATAAATTCTATATTAAACCTAGATGGTTTGATACCATCATGCTCATCAGGTTTGCTTAAATTTTCAGGGGCTCGAACAAACTTTAATGATTCTTTTCTAATATTTACTAAACTTTTCAAAGTTTTTGTTGGCTCATTTGCTTGAGGTGGAGGATATGGAAACTAAAATTAATATTGCAATTAATAAATTATTAACAAATCAAACCAAAAGTATCATATAAGGCTAACAATTACAGAGAAATCACAAATCAAACCAAAAGTATCATATAAGGCTAACAATTACAGAGAAATGCAATTGCAATTAAGTTATCCGACAGCAGGTGTATTAACATACCATCAATTATTAACAAAAATTTTACAGATTCAGTAATCGAATCACATAATACATTATAAAAAAATAAGCCATATTACGTTAAAATAACTGAAACTAGTCAAATCAGATAATACTTTGATCACGAGACATTGCAAAAATAATCACAGAAGCACATAACTGCAGTATTAAAATTTATTATAGATTTTTTGTCCAAAAGCCAAATAGAAACAATTTCACATAAAATAACAAACAGTATTTGTAATAAAAATTGACCATCCAATGTTACATCAACAAGAACGAGTGTTTCTAATACAATGGTACTAACTGGTGTTGGCTTGCATCCTAAAAAATTTAGATCAGTATTTTCGCCAAAAAGGTAAGCTTCAGGCTGTGGAGTGTCAAATCTTTCACCACCCATAATAAAATGACTTCCGAAATAGTTACCTATAAGTAAGAATAAAATAGTGTCAAGTATACGTTCCATACAATTAAATTTTCACAATATCATGATTACCAGTTCTTGGAGGGTATTTATAAGCATGATTCGTGGAAATATCAACTTCTTCAACTCCAGCATTTTGCCTACTAGTCAATGAACCCATTGAATGTTATTTTAAAATATAATTTATTTCTAATTAAACTAGTACTTTCATAAAAATTCAATATATATGGCAAATGTCAAATACCTAAACAAAGCACTTGGAAAGGTTGCCATATGCCGAAAGAAACGGCTGAGCTGTCACTTTAGTATTACCATAAAATAAAGAAAGTTAACTCTTGAACAAATCTCCAAAACTCAAATCCTACTCAAAAATAGTTGGGTAGGATGGAATCGTGCCTTAAGGCAAATTGCTGAAACTTTCCGTACCTTAACAAAATGTTCGAGGAATATTAAATGTTTTGAATTAGATTATTATAAAGACTATAATATTGTCTAATATTTATAAGAATTATATAAACTGAATTACAAAAATAAAATTATTTATTAAAAGTATATATTAACTGAGCTTTAAAACTTTAGACAGAATTAAAATTAAAATCTGACTTATTTTCGATATACAAAAAAATTTTTTTTTGAAAAAAAGAATGATATTTTAAAGTAAAAAAAAGCAATTGTTTTATCAACACAAGCGGAGAGTATTTTGAATCATTCAAATCGAATACTTAGTTCTCTTAAAAACTGCCATTTTTTGCATAATTAGCTCGGTATCTCCAAAACGGCTGGACCTGCCTTTGCCAAAAACTAAACACAACTTCTCCCAATCATTACAAATTGAATGTTTTTTAGATCATTCAAATCGGATACTCCGTTCACTCAAAAACTCGATTTCTATTTTCTGCACTCTTTGCTTCGTATCTCCGTAACGGCTAGACCTGCCTTTGCCAAAAACTAATCAGCGCATCTTCCTATCAATAGGAATTGAATGTTTTTTGAACTATTCAAATCGGTTGATCCGTGCGCCCGAAAACGTGAACGAAAAAAGGCGGACACACAAAAACACACACACATACATTTTTTCTGAGTGTACAAAATGTTCAGAAACCTTCAAAACGTGAAGAATCAAAAATTTTCATTTTCGATTATCGGCCTATTACTATAACTACTCTACGGGACGTTTTAAACAGAATTACAAACATAGATAAAAGAAAGAGATTATATGATTATATGAAATATTAATATAGGTATTACAATGCTTGGCAGATCGCAGAAATATATTAAAACTAGTTGGTATTGGTATTTTAAATTGAGGCAAGTTACATAAACTTCCCGATATGTGTAAATTAATTTATGAGTGATTTAAAGTATCCAAGTGGATTTATTACACATAATTAAAAACTATAACAAACACGTTAATTCGGAGTATTTTCTTAAAGCAGTTTCCGAAGGACTTTAATAGTTTAGTATGTTCATTAAGACCAAGTACTCTATCGTTATATCAAACAAATCGTCTAATTTTAATTTTAACAAACCTCAAATACTACTCATTTTCTCAATTTTTGATGATTTTTTAAAATCAAACTACTTGTCGTGAGGCCGTAATGATACTGATTAGGTTTAGGTGAAAATCTACCGAGCCGAGTCGTGAGGCAGGAATGATACTGATTAGTTTATTGATTATTTGATATTACTAATATTTCAGTAAGTTCTATAAGACCATGATATATATCACAAAATTCCATAAAAAAACGGCTCAATTTTTTTTCAACAATTAATTACAAGAAAACGGCTCGGTCGATTTTCACCTAAAACTAACCAGTATCATTCCCAACTAATATATATATATCTCTCTCTCTCTCTCTCTCTCTCTCTCTCTATATATATATATATATATATATATATATATATATATATATATATATATATGTATATATACATCCTATTTACTATACAATTCTTTCTTCTTCAAATGATTTCTTCATTCTCTGTCTTTTAATCTTACTTTTTTATCTTCTTCTAACTTCTGAATTCTCTCCAACTCTTTTACATTCTTTGTTTCTTAATTCTTCTTTTTCATCTTCGCGTGTTCTAATCTTTTTTCTTACTCATTAAATTTTAACTCAAACTTAACAATTTCTCACAAAACTTTTTTTTTACGCCTATATTTTCCAAAAACCGGTAAATAATTTATAATTCAAAAAAAAATATATTATTTTTAAAATAAATATGTTTTTTTTTTGTTTATTATGTTTTATTTTATATCATGAGAGATTGTATCTCTGACTTCATATATAGATCCTATTTATTATACAATTTTTTCTTCTTCAACTAATTTCTTCATTCTCTCTCTTTCCTAATCTTACTTTTTTATCTTCAAAACTTCTTATTTTATTAAACTCCTTTCCTTTCTTTGTTTCTTAATTCTTCTTTTACATCTTTGCGTGTTCTAATCTTTTTTCTTACTTCTCATATTAAATTTTAACCCAAGCTTAACAATTTCTCACAAAACTTTTATATTATGTCTATATTTATAATTTAAAAATTAATTTAAAAAATATAGCATTTATTTAATTCAATCAAATTCAAATATAGTATTTTTTAAAAAAAATATTTATTTTTTATTTTACATCATATACAATCCTTTATATATATGGGATCCTATTATTCTTTCTTTAAATTTCTTCATTTTCTTCTATCATTATTTTTTATTTTCTAACTCCTAAATTCAAGTCCTTTCCTTCCTTTATATTTTCATTCGGCTTCTCTCTGTCTCCGTGTCTTTCAATCTTTTGACTTCTTAATTCAAACTCTCTGAGAGTTTTTTTAATTCAAATTCTGTACTTTTTTTGTTGAATCTGACAGTACAAATTCAACGCCAGGGCTGGGATTAGAACCGAGTACCTCCGGCGTGTGGGGCGAGCATGCTACTGACTAGGCCACCCTCGCCCCGGAACAGCTTTCAAAAATTCATAATTATATGTAATAATTATATTAATAAAATCATAAAATTATAATATTAACTAGTTCGTTTTGGTATTTTGCCTTGAGGCAAGTTACATGAAGTTCCCGATATATGTAAATAATCGACTTAAAAATAAATTAATTTATGTGTGACAAAAGTATTCCGAGTGGATTTATTTCACATAATTGAAAATGAAAACTAATCAGTATCATTCCCAATTAATATCTTTCGGACAGTTTTTGATTTTTTAAAATCAATTCGGTAATATGAGCTTAAATGTGAACGACATTTTTTTTCAATTACAAAGAAACGGCTCGGCGGATCGTCGCTAAAAACTGTCAAACAATAATTCTCATCGAGATACATCAAATGGCTTTTAAATTTATGAAATCGGTTCAGGCGTTTTTGAGAAAACGTCGATCAAAGGTCTTGACAAATGCCAAAAAAACGATACTAATTTTTGCAAACTTTGACGAATTTTTAAAGTTAAACGAGTTGTTGTAGGGCCGTAATATTTTAAAGGGTCCGCCCATGCTTATTTATCTATGGGTCCGCCATATAACTTTTTTTATTGGTAGCAATTTAGAATTTTAGACAGCCATTAAAAATTTAGACAGCCATTTCAATGAAATTAATTTCGATTATTAACCAGAAGGATTGCACTTTCAAATAGAAAAGATTTAAATTGAGAAAATATTCAGTAGTTTATATATAGCATTTTCAAAAAAAAAAGTTATCTGACGGATCCTATAGTATGTTCTAAAAGACTATGGTATCTACCGTCAAAAAAAATCATAAGAATCGTGGAAAAACATTTTTAACATTTTTAATTCAAGAAATTTCAAAAAAAGTATGTATATACATCCATTTTTTCAGTCAAAATGTTCAGAAACCTCTGAAATGTAAAGATATGCAAAAAAATATTTAAGATTTTTTGCAATTACTACAACTTGCCCTACGGGAAGTTAATAAAATAATATTTCCGATATTAATAAATAATTTGTCGTAAAATTATGAAGAATTAATCGAGATGTTTTCCTATTAGTTTCAGTTCCAAGTTTTAAATTGTGTATTAACTCACAGAATACAGTTTTTTTTTTTTTTTTTAATTTCAATAATTGTTTCAACTGCTAATTTATTAACATCAAGTAATATTGATAAATAATAATATAAATTTAAATAAATAAAAGAGCAAAGGATAAAATTTACATGAAAATAATATCCGTAATATGATTTAATGTAAAATATAAGCAAATAATAATAAAAATAAGATTAATAAATAATATAAATAAAATTTCAGAATAATAAAATAATACTAGAAAAATAATAAAATATAACAAAATAACAATAATAGAAATAGTAAGATAATAATAATAATAATAATAATAAAAATAATAATAGTAATAATAACAATAATAATAATAATAATACAGAATACAGAATATTAATACAAAATATTAATTCATAGCATACTCGATACATAAATGTTTATTTATTTTTGGACCAATCCATAGCATACTTGATATTCACAGTTATAGTAGAAATTTTCATAAAATAAAATACAGGACATAGTGGCCTATGAATTGAAATTTGATCAAAAAAAAAGAAACACAGTTTGGGAAATTCGTTTCGCAAAATTTGTAACCGATCGGATTTGAAAATCAAATTTCGTTTTGCAATTGCGATTTAGCAATCGGTAATTCGGTAGATGTCGTAACGATAATTCAAATTAACTTCGGTATTTGGTTTAATACTAAATCGTGAATCGTGAATCGTGTATTCGAATCGTGAATTTTCGGCGCGGTGTGCAAATCGCAACGATCGCATTGGCATCTGTCAAACGGGGCAGCCGGTTGTCAAACGTTAGAGAATATTATAAAATACAAGTGATTCAATTCGTTCCGGTCGCAAAATTTGAATCCATTTCAAACTTTAAATGCTAGTGCAATGGAGAGTGAGGACGATCATGATAATCAACACTTTTTTTATGAAGATGAGGTCTTTAGAGTTTCGAAAGCAGGAAAGGTCAGCTTTGGAATGGTTATGGAGAATTATGAGGCCAATTTGAGTGAACAGGACAGCGACTCTGACGATAATTCAACTTACGCGCCTATTAAGAAAGGGGAGCTGAGGATCTCCTGGCATCCTTCGGGGAAGGAAGAAGTAGTCAAAGACGAGACTGTTAGTAATATGTTTAATGTCACTTGATGTTTTGGTATTATCCCAAAAATGCATGACTTGTGACAAGCCTTATTGTAAGTGTAGCGGATCCTCTGAAAAGATATTTATTTCACTAGTATAAAACTATGCATCAAATCATTACCATATCCTATCGTTTATCTTTGAAAGTATCGCAAAGACCTAATACAAAATAATTTTATTTTCAATATTAAATGATAATGGAAGTTATCTTTTTTTCTATCATTATCACTACACAATTGAATATTTGATTATCATTAAGAATTTATCATAAATGTAATACTTTAGGTTTAAATTCTAGATTGTTTATTTATTAAAAATGTATAATGAGTTTACAATCACTGTTCCTAGTGCTTCTACATGTGAATGTGTAGATGTGAATTCTACATCAATTAAGCAGTTGATATTTCACACAAGACAATTGCATTTTAAGAGCATAAAAATATTTTTTTTTTTATACAGGTGGGGTTAGTAGATAGGTCTCTTATGCCTGGAGATGTTGTGCGCAGAATGATTAAAGGCAAGGATACCCAACGAGGCTACTGCCGTGAAATAAGAGTTGACACTGCTATTCAAATCTGTGGTACTCCCTATGTAATAACCAATGTGTCATCTGAAAGACTTACAAGTATAGAACAATTTTCTACTGATTTAGCAGTCTGTTTGGATTCTTGGGTAAATACAAATAAATTTGAGAAATTAATTATCTAAATTAAAATTTTCTAAGGAGATATATTAGTTTTCATACAATGAATGTAATAAGAATACACCTAAGTCTGTTTTTACACGGTAGATTGGTTCCAGAAGAAGCCGTGTAAAAAAAAAACGTGTAAAAAAAGACATTGATCTTATACAAAAATGGGTGATTTGTTTCTAATCTCTAAAACCTATTAAAATTAGTGAAAACAAGAATTTTCAAGAACAAGAATTCGTGTTTATTTTAATAATAATTCCTCTAAATTAGTGCTATTCACATTTGCTTTGACCAGTAAAAATTGTTTGTACGCGCTAAAGGGGAATTCACTTAAATCTTTAAGCTAGTGTTCGCAAACTATTGATACTATCGATGGTTTCAGACTTTTTTCTTTCATAAATACTTTTTTGTGATATGAACATACTTCGCAGAAATTAAATTTGACAAAAAAAATTTAAGTACATAAAATTTCCAATCGTGCTAAATGGAATAAAATCATGTAAAAAAATTAAAAATATTCAATTTTCAAACCGTGTTATATCAAAACCGTGTACAAAAAGACCGTGTAAAAACAGACTTAGGTGTATTTGTTAAAAAGATTTATCTCAAAATGTCTCAATATTTTTAATTTACTAATACTTATTTTACAGGTGGGTAGTACTCGTTTAGTCAATAGCCGTATGATACTGACTTCTATAGATGGTTCAAAACTGATGTGGGCTAGTTTATATTCAGCCCCATTTGAGGATTATTATACCAGCAAACTTCGTGCCTACGACGATTCTACAAAGATGTACTATCCAGGACAAACAGTAATATGTTCATTAAAAGCACTTGATGCTGCTGAATGGATTACTTGTACCAAAGAAATGAGTGCTTTGAGGAAGAAGAAACATAAGGAACATAAGGTATATTTTTCGTAATGAGGGCTTTAATTACTTTTTCAGTTTTATACTCAAGGTACATTAATCATTTTCTAGACTGTAACAACTTGCTATACTTTCTAAATTTTGAAATAATAGGTGAATACATCAATTAGTACTTTTTTGCGATTTTTTTTAATATTGTTTTGTATCAAATTTTTGTTTAGTCTTCTCTGTAATGATATTAATAAAGAAATTTATGCTTTAGACCATTTTTTTTGTAGTTTACAGTACAATCAGTGACTATGGATTCAGTAATAGTCAGATGGCAATGTAAAGCTTTGTCATTTGAAAATGAAGGTGGTCATGAAGGAGCTCACACACAACCTAAGTCAGTCGTCGAAGGGGAAGACTTGAAACGCCTTAAAATGCTTAATTTATTTGAACCTTGTACAGTATCTATAGGCGACAGATATTATTTTGAACTTACTGAAGAAGATGAAATAATTAACATTGTGGATTGGAGGAGAGCTCAAAGTAAATGAACATTTCTTATTCAAATATAAAGAATATTTCTTATGTTAAAGGCATATTTTTAATTTTTGTCAAACTACACAGTATTAAAATTTTTGGTACTTCTTTTTGTTTAAGATCGCAAATTTAAGGAATTACATAAAATGAAGAAACTAGATGATGAGAAGGTCGACAAAAAATCTTTAAACTTAGAACTTAATTGTATGACTGAGAATTCTGATACTAAAACGCAACCTAGCCTATCAAAATCAAAAGTAAATACTAAAGTTTCATTAAAAAAAGAGGAAATTACAGAGCTTACAGAAACACCAATAAATATTAAAAAAACGGAATCAAAGGATTGTAATAAAAGTCGAGAAAAAGAGATTGAAGCAGAGTGGTTAAGTGACACTTCTTGTGATACTTCTTGCGATACGGTTGCTTCTCATTCCTCAAGTCAAAGTACTGACAGTATGACACTTAAGAAAGCTCAAGTAAGCTAATAACTTATTAATATTTCTAATCTTTGAGATTCCGTAATAATTTTAAATCTTATAGGTATTGTCAACGAAATTGTTCAAAAATAGAAGATTGAAACGAACAAGGCGCAAAACACCTATTCCAAAACCCCCAAAACCTGGTGATAGAATTGTTGTAGACATTATTTCTACAAAAAGTGAAGCCGATGTCGTATGGCAAGATGGAAGCATAGAAAATGACATAAGTTCTGTGGATCTGTACCCCATACATCATCTAGATGACCAGGAATTCTTTCCTGGTGACTTTGTGATTGCTGGTGCCGAGGGATCTGAACCACCTTGCTCAAGAGAATACGGTGTTATTCAAAATATGGATCACCAAGGCCGAACAGCCATAGTTAAATGGTTCAGAACATACACCAGTACTCAGGAGCCCAGGTACAATTTTTCTCAATCTATATACCAAATTAATGTAAGGATTCAATATTCATTGAAATAGAATTATTTTTCATTATTGTATAAAATAATTTTGCGAAAAGTTTCAAATCATTCTAAAATTTTGAATTTTTATTATTATAGGCCATTATTTCTTTCCGAAAGTGAAGTCAGCGTTTATGATCTTAAGGATCATCCTGATTTCCAATACAGGCCTGCAACAATAGTTATAAGAGTAGCAAACTTTGTTGGAGAAGATGCGACTTGCACTGCCGGACAGGTAATACATTAATATTCAAATATTTTGCAATGTATAATTTAAAATTATTTTATTTAAAAAGGTGATCGACAATTTCCCTGAAGGCAAAGTTAAAGTATGGTGGGTAGATGGTCATTCTAGTATGTGCTGGCCACAAGATATATTCAAAGTGAGTTCAATATTATAAAATTCATTAATATTGCATAAGCAAAATTGATGTTCACAATAACAGTATACTTTTATTAAAGAACATACCAACAAAGTTAGTATATGATTAATTTCTTGGAGGTCGTAACATCAAGTAAAAAATAAAGATTTTAAAAACATCTTTATTTTTCCATTCGTTTCGACGTAAAATTCTACGTCATCATCAGTTTTGAAATTCTTAGATTATCACTTATACATATAAACAACAACTTGTAAATAATTATTAATTGGAAACAAGCACTAAATGTCAGTAATAAAAATAACAAATATCAGAAGCACGCGCATTATTTCTGTCTAACTGAAATCAATCTTGCCTAATTCATTACATCACTAATTTATCTCATTGTTAGATTGGTGAATACGACTCAGATGATGGCGATTTCTGGGGTGATAACGAGACCGAGGATTCCTGGGAAACAATGAGTGGAGACAGCTTAACTGTCTCTGGTTCTTCAAGCAGTGTTGTTCCTGCAAAGTTAGCTTGGCCTGAACTCAAACCGCGCCTATCAGCCAATGTGGAACGTGCCAGGACTGCAATGGCTAGGTTAGAAGAGATTTTCACTCAAAATCCATCTTTGCAAAGTCAGGAGGTTATGAAAAAACTTCTCGATGTATATAAAGAATGTAGATATCTTGATAGGTTGATGGATACATCATTTTTCCACGAAGATAATTTTGAGGTAAGTTCGAAATAATATAAAAATTTTATAATATAATAAATAAATAAAATAAAACATAATAGATCTAGAAAACTTAACTGTGCTGAGTTTAAGAAGTTATTCTGGTCTAGAGGCATAAATTTTATTCGATTTAAAAGGCAAACAATATATTTGAGATATATATGTATATATATATATATATATATGATATTTTTTCTATTAATTAATTTAGGGGTTATTAGAGAGAGTACGGGAAAAGGGCACTCCGAGCGCCGCAAAACAAATCAAAGATCACTTATCACGTTTGTTTAGTAACGATATCGGCGATAATTCGCAAGGCGATTTAAATTTGAGTGCTAGTAATGAAGAAGTATTAATTGGCAGTACAGATTTGGAATCGAGCCCTTTGAGCTCAAAGACTGAATCCAGACATCGCTTAGAATCGAAGAGTTCTAGCAAGACAAATCTGCTCGCAAAGGACGATTGGTTGAAAAGGCGTAGCAGTACGAAAAGTGTCGCTCGTACTAGTTCTAATTCGGACATTGCACAAAAGAATTCCAAGGCTACTATTAGCGAAAATAACTCTAAGAACGAAATGAACCGAACTGGTTCGAAATGCGACATACCTCCAGTGCCCAATAATAGCATGAATAATGTGAAAATCCAGGATATTGATCTCAAATCATCTTTGGATACTGTTAAAATGGTCATTGAAAAAATAGAATCCGAGGACAATCAGAAGCAAGTTGATGATATTTTGAAACGAAACCAAGAAGTGCCTCCAGTGACCAAGAAGCAAAATACTACAGTAGAAGGGACAGTAGTTTTACACTCCACATCACCTAATGCATTAGATACATCACAAACCAAAACCGAAGATTCTGGCTTATATTCTCATTCTGCGAGGGCATCAATGGGCAGTTCTGAGAGCTATCAAAGTTCTACTGAATATTTAGTCAGTGATATTGTTGGTACTTTAGCAAATCAAGTTTTAGATTCAGTGGAAACACATTTAGAGGGTCAGTAATTTTTTCTATATTTTAAGTGAAACGATCAATATTTTTATCATTAAATATCTTTCATTTTAAAGGCAAAATAATGGAGCATGTCGTCTCTACAGAGCATACCCCTAGTAGAAAACACTCTCAAGATGAGCACAATTCATTAATTGTTTGTGCCAAACTCTGTTCATTAATAAAGAAACAACTGGTTGCGGCACATGCTGAGGTAAGATTATAGTTTTGCATGGTACTCAGATAATCAGGTATTTATTTTAATTAACTATGCTAGTGACAGAAATGTATATTTCAATTTTTGTATGAACACTAGTTTGTCAACCGATCAAACTCTTACATTTGACTTTCTTTATTTTCAGATTTTGAGACGGTTTGGGGTGTCAACGCCATCATTAACTGACATTGTAACTGAAGGAAACAATGATGAGGACCCAGTACCGGAGCCAAAGATGCTCATCACTAATGAAATTCCTGGGACTCCAATGTCTCCTACTTCAGTCTCAGATGTATCATTTGGCAAAATAGCAGAAGATGCAGCTGATCAATTTGCAATCTGTGATACGGCTCCTTGCTCTCATAATTACTATTTGACAATGCTGCAGCCAACCAATCCACAAGAATTCTTTAAAACTGTTAGAAAGGAATTGAAGCTTCTAAGAACTGGATTGCCGCCAGGTGTCTGGGTCAAGTTAGTATCATTTAATCTTTAATTTTTATGCTTAAATATTCAGTACTCTTTCACTTTTATTATATAAATCATATGTATATTATTATATATATTCTAGTTGTCTATCAAATGACTCATATAATACCAATTATATCTACTGTGTGATAATATTTCAGCAATTTAATCTTGGTATAACTGTGCATAACATACCATTTTATTTGTAATATTGATTTAAGTTCCAATAGGAATGTTGGTGAAGAGCTTGTTGAGTTTCATTTGGCTTGATTTACTAATAAACCTTGAATACCTAAATTTCAGAAACTATGAAGATCGTTTAGATTTATTCTCAGTCCTCATTCGTGGACCCAATAATACCCCTTACGAAGATGGATTATTCTTATTTGACTTCCAACTGCCAGCTGAGTATCCACGAACACCGCCTTTATGTCACTATATAAGTTATTGCTCTGACAGATTAAATCCAAATTTATATGAAGATGGAAAAGTATGTGTCTCATTATTGGGTACTTGGTCTGGAAAAGGTACTGAGGTCTGGGGAGCATCAAGTACTTTGCTGCAAGTTTTTGTATCGATACAAGGGTTAATTCTTGTACCTGAACCTTACTTTAATGAAGCTGGATATGAGAAGCAGAAAGGTAAGTAACTTCTCCTGTTTTAATAGCTGTGTAAAATAAATACAAGCTTCTTGATTCACTCTGTAACCATGATTGTATATTGGAACTCTTGCATCTGTTTTTTTTTGCATTTACTATTTATTAATTTAATTATTATTTTTGCTGTCTATTCGTATATTGTGGAAATGAGTTGGTTACACGCTCTAACTGTTCCAACTTTCTCTAGGTGTTTTTTTTCATCTACATTCTTTTTACAGCTTAGAAAGCTGCTTATAAATTATTATAAGGATCTTAGCTGGACCCTTTATCAACTCTTTCTGTTTACACAGTACATATCTATGTGTTACGGTCGCATAGCCTCGCCATCCTAAACTTTTTCAATGAGAGACATAGCCATTTTCTTTAGACTTATAATTATAAAAATACACAATAGTTTGTAATTGTACAAAAAGCAAAAAACGCGAGCTCAACATATATAACTGTACAATTATTGAGATATAGTTAAAATTTCAAGTGTTAAAATAATCCCCGATCGATTCGCGATTAATATTCATACATAATTGAAATGACGAATTTTTTCAAGAAAGCTCTTACAAAGTTCGTATCTCGAATTTTAATTTTATGTTGAAGCCACGAATCGCTCGTTTGGCGGCCCTTATCTCGAAACACTCGTCAAATATTAGTCAAGTCACTCGAAAGTCGGGGTACCACTGTAATAGATTGCTTTATTGTGCGAAGTTTATGGATAGTCCGCACTTTTACTTGAAAACGAAAGAGTTTAAAGCCTTTCTATAAATCGTATCTGTTTACGGCCTGTAAGCACACCATCCATTATTTAATATTTATAAATGTTTTCCAAGCGCCCATCATCTCCTTAAATAATTAAATAGATTCTTTTAGTCTGTACATTTTTGTCGTGCATTGCAGGTTTATTTGAACATTTTACTTTTTTCAACAATATGATATAAATTGCTTGCAAGCTTTCAGTATATATTTAATTTTGTGCTATCTATATATCCATAAATTTGTTGATGTCTTTGATAGAGGGATCTATCTTTTTTGCAGTGAAAATAACGTTGTTAAAGTGACATGAAAATATATTGATTAGTAATATGTAAGCTTATAATTGATCATGGAAAACTTACCTGAAATTTTCAGGTTCCCAAGCTGGTTGTGAAAATTCACGAATGTACAACGAGATGGTAGTGCTGAAATTAGTCCAGGCAACAACTAAATTAATCCGTTCACCGCCTGAAGTGTTTAGAGAAGAGATCATGAAACATTTCAAGTTGAAGGCCCCTGCTCTTCTTAACCGCCTTGAGAACTGGTTGACTTTGTCAGAGGTGCACAATGCGAAGTACCCAACTAGCCCGATGACTCCATCTACTTATAGAATTAAAGCAGCTGAGCAGGACTCCACTATCCTTGATTTAGTGCCTCCTGATTTTCCGTTGATACCTGCCAGTAGGGGTTTCTGCCTTTCCCTTAGATCTGCATTAGTTTCCTTTAAGGAAATTCTAAATGGACTCACATAGTCTGGCTAATTTGTTATTTTTCTTTGCACCAAGGTGAATTTACGATTTTAAATAAATCATATGAATAGCGTTAATCCTGGTTTTGTATTTTATTGCTATATAAACAAGCTTATGCTTCTTATGCAACAACTTCGATAACTCCAAAAAATACTTCTTGGAAGAAAAAAATTGTTACTATAATAATTTAACTTCTGTTTTGACCTAATTTTACTGGAGTTATCATTATTACCGAAGTTCATTAAAATTAAATCAGAGAAGTCATTTGATTATTTGTTACTTAAAATCAGATATTTTTAAACTTTACACCAAATTTTTGAAATTAAGTTGAGAATAATTAAAATTGAGAACTAATTCATTGTTAAGCTGCTGATACTTTAATGTATTTTTTTAATGCCAACGTTAAAACGTTAAAACTTTTTGATAATATTCAATTGTACAAAGATGTAAAGATAAAAACTTTATAAACTTGTTGAATTGTAATAAGGTTTTACTATGTCATAATTCTAATTAGATCTGATAATAAAACTTTGTAGGTACTCTGTAAATCCTGCCTTTGATTATAAGGAATAGCCAATTTACAAAATTTGTTAGACATTCCATAAAAAACTGCAGTTCTTGCCAGTATTTATTTTGATGCGATATGATTTAGAAAATTATATTAAATTGTGATAATTGTTTTGTTAGTGTACTAGATTTAGTGAAAGTAAGTGAAGTATTAACTGATAACATTCAAAATAGATTCTATTGCTAGTTTTGGGTTTAATATTTATAATACTATAATTGAATTTGTACATAATATATATATATATAACTTGTTATTTAATAGTTACTTATATATTATCGAATATTATAGAATTCATTATCATTTATCAAAAGCACTGAATAAAATACATCATCTATTGACTTGTTTTATTATGTATATAAGACTAAACTATATAATATTTGATGAAACTCGCATTGTGAGGTATTCATAAATTGAGGTATTCTTAATTTGACATTTAATAAATTTTCACTTATTAAATATATATTCAAAAAATTCTATATGCAATGCTAAAAGCAATACGCCTGATATACATCCTGACATAAAAAATCATGAAAATTTGTGATCTGAATTCGTTAGCAATTGGAAAACCTGGTCTAAATCTCAGGAGATAACTGTACTTCCACGACAATTAAATTTTCATGATAAAAAAACAAGATTTGCAAAGCCTTCCTTCATTAATACATACATGGACATTGGTACCATGATATTTTATATAAAAAATGCTTCATAGAATTTTAATTAGCAACAATAAATTAAAAACATATTTGCATGAGGTTAACAGATAATTTATATTCCATTATAAATACACGAAAATGTATATAGCTTAAAATTGTATACATTTTAAAATATATAACAGAAATGGTGTAAATTAAACTAAAACTTGATATTTCTATTACAAATAGTAACTTACAAAATAATCTACCCTTTAAACAAACTTGAAGTTGATAATCATAGCAAATATGCACGAATTAAGTTAATAAAAACACTTGAAACAAGAAGTTTCATTGTAAAAAAGAAAATTAAATCGAATATAAATATCATCAGATAAATCTATCAAAGAGGAGAGATGGCTTTGAAAGCCTTTTGATATTTAAATATATATATACATTTCACTGAATTGCATCAAACTTAAATTACATTTAAAATTTTACATGTTACGATAAATTGAAATAAATATTCAAAATAGATTTGCATCAATCGACAACCCACAGAAAGCATTTTGTAAAACTTCAGGAGATCATTTACGAAATCGATATAATTAATTTTACATAGCAGTACAAAAACTGAATTATAAAATCTCAAACGATTTTAACATTTATTAGGCCATTATAAAATCCAATCAAACGATTCTCTTAATTCCAAAATAAAATCACATACCAGTACTATGCAAATAAAAACTTGTCCTGCAAGATTCAAACTGTCACAATTAAAAAACTCGTAAGGAAAATGAAACTAGACATCAAAGTTCAAACACTACAAGTTGAACAAGATATACATTCTGTACGACGACACAACGTAAAATAACAACTGTGAATGTCACAGTACTACACCTTTACCGGTGAAAAAAGTAGGCATTAATTGGCTCACCTATATTTTCGCATTAATCGCTACGCAAACGATCTCTCAACTTATGTTGTTGCTTATATTATTATATGTATATTTATATATAATTCCAGCGTAACACAGCCCATAACGTTATTTTAAATAGCAACGTAGAACTGGAAATATTTCCTACAAAATCAGATGTATCGCCAAAGTTGTATGTACTCTGTTATATTTCGAATTTTGTGTTATTAATGCGATCAAATGGCATAAGCAAATAGTCAGACAGGTCGAAGAAATACAAATGCCATTTTCCCGTATTTCAGTACTTGTTTTCACCGTTATTAACTAAAAAAAAATTACGATATTTAGCAAAAACATAATATTAATTACCTATGTAACTCTCGATTAAACATACAAAATTAATTAATTGTTCAATATTAATTTTGAATTGACATTGATATAAAAATTTAATTTATGTATATAATCTTAATCGTAAGTATTCGTTAAAGATTTTGACACTCATTCTATATTTTATTCCTTTTTTCGGTATAAAAGACAGAACACAACACATATTTTAATACCTTAATGTTTTAAATGCAAATACGTAACTATATTCCTTCACGAATAAACAAAATAATAAAAATTTAAAGAAAGTAAAATTAATTACACTATCTACATTGAAATGTTATAGACCAAAATAAAAATAAAAATTATGAAACAAAAATAAAGAAGATAAATAATATTTTAAAATGTATATTTTAAGTCGAAATAAACTAAACCAAAAATATTATATATACGAAAATGATAAAACGATTTAGCTACTAACAATAAGAATCCGTTATATTCACATATAACATTTAAATAAGGGAAGTATTGAATTTATTCATTAATCTTAACATTACAAGATTTATATTTCATATATTTAATCAAATATATGCATTGCCGGAAATAAAATGCAATGCACACATAACTCAATGCCACTATATTAATAAATTTACATAAAGCATCTTTGACCAGTACATAACTTTCGCAATATATACATAAAAAAGCAATAAGTGTACTAATGTTTTTTAACATTTTGATGTTTCGATGTAGCATACATAATCCTGTATAGCTTTATGCATTATAATAAACAAAATATTCGAAACATATGAAAGTATTTATATATATATATATGGTATAAAATTATAAAAGAATCGGAGCATTAGTTTAAATGAGATAACATCCATAAAAAATTGCTAAACTAATGTTTTTTCAAATTTTTCTAGATTTTTTTCAATCGATTTTAATTCAGTACAATTGGTCTATACACACTTATTATATTATACACATGTGTTTTTTTTATATTAAGATACATTCGTCTCAAAATGTAAAACTATCAGTCATCATTAAGTTCGTTTTTTGTTTATAAAAAATCAAAACTGATTCTTCTATACTTTTCCTTCATTGCAACTATTTTAAAATGTTCCGATTTTTTGCGGAGCACTTTTGTTGTAACAAAATGTAACAGCAACAGGATATACTTCATAGTCGGTTGCTGAATAGTGGCAATCATCACACACAAATTAATGTTATTGAATGACAAATGATAGATCTAAGGATAGATTTTGATAATAAGGATATATGATAGTAAATTATATCAAAATGTAGGCTTATATATTTGAAACAAGTTTGTTTTATCTTGTAGTTTTTTTTCTTACAAACGTCCATTTTTAACGTGCTGTTAATTGGCATTTCAATTAAGCAATCATTTTTATCAAGTATAATAAAAACGAATACTATAAGATAGATCCTGCTGCTACCAATATATCTTTATGAAGAAGTCATGAATAAATTAAAATATTCCATGACAAACATTTAATAAATCGATATGCGCCGATTAACATTTTTCTAAATATATTGAGTCCTCTAACCTTATTTCCAGCATTGTCACAAAATATAAGAATAATCGCAGTCGTATTTCATAAATCGTACATACATTCATTACACACACACACATAGTTATCATATCAAATTGTTTATGACGCCTAACTAAACGAGGAAGATATTATTAAAATCGACTGTTGCATTTCGATTCTACCACAATTTTAAATAATTATTGTGTAAAACGGCGCGTTTAATGGGTTATTTTTTAAGTCTTGGGGGACCTTCTTTCGGAGCTGACGCTCTGCGTTGCTGACTAGGGGGAGCCATCGGTGAGCCGGTGCTGAAATAGAAAGCTGCTTTAGCAAGTTATGTTGTCCTGGCTAAGGAGTTACATAGGCTTCATAAATATTCAAATCCAACTGGATGAAAAATAAATCGGGTACATTATTCGCAAACTTCTTTTATTAATTCTATTTTATAGCTTGTCAGTATGAACGTATTAACCCTTTTCGGTCATCTGTCCACTCACAGCCACCAAAGCCTTTTTATCGTTCCGGTCGCATATATGTTTGCGGCCGCCACAACAAGTTACTATTAGAATCGTGTACTGTATGCATTCATACAGCATACAGTGATTATAAAATATAACTTTTATACAAAAACAACACTAGATAAATGTATTGAATAATCTTGTAATCTTGTTTACATATCGTAAACTTAACGGGAAATAATTCCGAGCATTGCGGATAGCCATCCCCAAATTAATTTCGACCGAAAAAAGTTAAAACATTTTTTAATATATGTATACTCAATTTTATCTGCTTCCTCTTGATCATCTTCAAAAGATTACTTCAAATATTAATTGGTGGTAAAACTGAATCAGCTGAGCTTGCATTTGACAATAATTCTTAATGGCAAACATTGGAACAAAAAATTTCAAAACTAATTGGCAAAATGTTATATTTTGTACTTTTTTGGTTTGGCTATGATCATGAAAGCTGTGGCTTAAAAATTTAGATCTACAAATTTAATTAATCTAGTTTGCAATATGTGGATATGAGCAAGCGTATGTTTATGCAATAAACTGTAAATAAAATTATATTAGAATGTTTACCTAAAATACGTACTTTTTTGCATGTTCTTGGTTAGGTGACGCAGCTGTACCTTGCCCCCTTAATCTCATGGAAACACGTCTTTCGTGGCTTTCATACATTCCTCTTGATGCTAAAAAACAATAAATAAGTTATAGTAATTGCAAAAAAAATCGAAAATGAAATATTTCATATATCTTTACGTTTTCACGGTTTCGGAACATCTTGGGATACCTTTGAAAAAATGGATGAGACATATTTGTGCGTGTGTATGCATGTGTGTGCGGATGCCGAAGGAACACCGATTTGAATGATTCAAAAAACATTCTATTTATATTGATGTGAAATAGAATGACTTAATTAAATATTATTTATTGAAACAACTAACGTTATTACATCTATAAAAAATACTACAATAACCAACCAACTAATTTATTGCAACCGATCGCTGCACAGTCAAATAAAATGCTGAATTGTTTTTTTAAATATAAAAGCACAATAAAAGTTTCAGCAATGCATAGATTAATTACGAAAACAAATAATTGCTAACCAATATCGTCTCCAACTGCCGCTGCTGGTGTGGACACATCGTGCCTACGTAAACGTCCTTGTGGAGGTCTCGGCGTTTCCGGAGGAACAGCTCCGTATCCTGCCGCTCCACGAGTTCCTCTCGTTCCTGTGCCGCCTCCTGCTCCTGCTCCATTATTGCCCGTGCCGCCGTTACCACCTCCGCCGCCCATCGCTCCGTTGTTCGCACCACCTCCGTTTTCTTCGCCGCCTGCACCATTATTACCACCGTGATTATTAGACCTAGAACCACCTGAAAGAACAAAAAAGTAATAGTAATTTTCAACAGTTGATAATAAGTTATGGCCCGGTCATTTTAAGCATTCAAGGTTACTATAATTCATAATGGGCTGTAACTGAGCAAAATTGTTTAAAATACAAATAAAACTAATTTCATAAGTCCTCATCGATCCGATGCAAGCTAAAAATAAGGCACAAGGTCAAAGATAAAAAAATAACCCTCTTTCGATTTTTAGCTAAATGGTCAGTTTTATCGCAAAATTACCTGAGACAATATTGTAGAGCATAAAATTATCTAAAAAAATGCATTAATAACTTTTTTTACAGAGAGCCACCGTTTTAAAGATACATATATCTTTAAAAAGTACTTTTGAAAGTACCTTTAAAAGCCACCTATGAGGTAGTGTGCTTAGTTTGTTTTTTTACGTGATTCCCCAGTAGGCCTATTTCACGAGTCTGTTTCGGAACACTTGCAAAATAATATTTGTGAATTTGGGTTGGCAAAAATAAAGGCTTTAATTATAAAAAAGTAACTACATTTATTCATACGACGATAAACAATACTTTACTGAAACGGTACAGTATTGTTTATCGTCGTATGTCTCTTAAACACAGATATAATGAATATAGTATTATATTCAAACTAATATCTGATTTAACGATTCATGGTTGATAGCAATTTCAACAGAATATATGGTGCAACGCATAAATCTCGCAAAATCTATCCATATAATGAAAGATTCGTTATGAAATGTTATAAACATTTTTGCAAATAGATCGAACTAAAACAAGATTACGAATAACACGATAAAACTTGGAATATATAATATAATATATAATATAATATATAGTGGAAACATATTCTATCACGGCTTCTATTTCAAATCTCAAATTATTCACACTTCCGAAGAATTCAGACACAGATCGGAACATAGTTGAATATTGCTTAAGCTCCAATACACTTCCATATTCAAAAATCTTAAACCCCAACTTGCCATGCATCAATGCTTGATATCCTCGAAAACACGCTTGCTAAACATTAGCAACTTTAAAAAATGTGCAAAAAAAGCGTGTGGAATATGGAGTCAATTGCAGACTTTCTCGACTGCAGATACAACCACCATACACCATAACCAGCTCAAAGCGAGAATATTACAGCTCTTTAGAAGCAGAAAATATTGAACTGATTATTACTGATTAGTCTGAAAACACCCAAAAAATTAAAACTATAAACATGATTTCCGATAACAATCAAGAAAAGCAGTTCACAGAATATGTGTGTTACCAAAACCACTAATAACAACTTAATTCACATTCACGAAGATTACCAAATACTTTGAAATCTATATTTCAAGGCCGGGAGTATGTTCGCGCCAATCAAAGCATGCGGGTATATTGAGATAAAAAACAAAAAATCATTAATAGATTATTATAAAACCAAAATCAAATCATTCAATACATAATCAAAAACATGTTAAAATAATTGTAAATACTATTATAACTTATAAAATAAATATATACAGTTATCAATAAAGTATTTAACAATTTGGTCCTTCATAAGGCAATCAATCACAACAATCCATTTAAAAAACAGTCATAATTTTCAAATGTTTCGACATCTAGTTCGTATCGTTTTTCTTAATCTCGATCATATATGGGTTTCGCCTAAGCACATATCGATGGCCGAGAAATTCAATGTTAATACGCCAAACTGAAAAGTTTATAAACAAATAAACATTTTATTTATCCTGTAGCAAAACTGTGTATGAACATTTGATATGTCCAGAATTTACGTTGAAGTGCTATGAACTAAAACCGCCGTTAATAATAATAAAAAAAAAATACATCGAGTATTTTAAATGAATATCGTGGCAAGAGCTCGGCACCACGGTACGGTACACTTGGAACCGTCCCGTCCCCAAAGGGTTAAAATTCATTTAATAAATAAGATTTGCAAATTAAATATATATGTACATAAAATTTTGGTATTAGCTACATTTTTTCTGTCACGTTTGTTATTTAACAGTACGGTAAAACAATGTACACATTTTTAACAACAATATGTTACAGAGTTTCACACAATATTATTTTTCATTGACAAAATAATTTTATGAATCTAATTGTAAGATTAGCAGCAGTATATATCATTCCCCATGTTCATGCTTTGCCAAAAGCTTAAAAACCCCGCAACGAAAGTGTGTTAATGTGTTCTGAAATCTGAATTAAGTAACTTACCGAATTTCAACTTATTCCAATCAAATTCATAGTCGCAGGTGAATCCTTGTCTATGAAATAAATTGCGAAATAATTGTCTAAGATAGGAGTAGTCTGGACGATCATCAAATCTCAATTGCCGACAACAATGTAAATAAGATGCAAACTCCGGCGAGAAACCCTAGACAAAAGAATAATGGTTAAATATAATAGGTTTGTAGCATATTATTATAGCAAGGACAGGTATTTTGTGAACTAGAAGTGCAAAATTCAAAACATAGAGTAGTTAGATAATGATATTTTACAAATCAATTTGATTAATGTATGACGATATATTAAAACTTTCATACGAAAAATATCGACAATCTAATCGTACAGGGTTAAAATGAACAAGGTCGAAAATTATCTAAAAACTTGCAATTACAACTTGAGCTCATAGTAAGTAAAATTTCATAGTGAACGAATGCACATAATTTATAATATCATAATTTACACTTACTTTGCATAATTCTTCTATTGACGTAGATAATTTCTTTTCAGAGATGAGTTCGTACTTTTGTCTTTTAGTGGCAGCTTTCAGACCTTGCCAAGGCAACGAGCCTCGATTGAAATACATTAGAACGTAACCTAGGGATTCTAAATCGTCTCGACGAGATTGTTCTATTCCAAGATGAGTATTAATGGAAGCGTATCTAGCTGTACCTGTAAAAAACGACTCCATTAAAATTCTTTACATAAAATGTCTTTACAATCGTAAATTAGACAAGTGTTAAAAATTGCTCGACGTCAGAAGCCACTGAAAATGTGATGAAGTAGCATTGTACTTTAAGGCAAACTATTGAGACTTTGTAAAGAAGTATTAGATGAATAAAATTAATTTTGAAATTACTAAAAATTCGAATATTTTGGTGATTTGAAAAATATGGTGTTTTACAACATTTTAATATTATTATAAAAACATTAAAAATTTTAAATATTTAATTTATATAAAATATGAACTGCAAGAAAATGCGACATAATGAAACAAATATTATTATCTTATATATAAAAATGGAGCTCTCTTTCAAATGTCCGAATAAAACTCGAAAACGGCTGAATCGATTTGGCCAGTCTTAGTCTTGAAAAATTCGTGCCAATCCAGAGAATGTCCAAAAGGTGAGAAATTATTTCAAATCCGCGTAGAAACTTTACATTTATAATTTTAAAATTTTTGTAGAAGCGTAATTTAAATAGAACAATGGACGGTGGCAATTTCGTGAAATGTCAAACGCTTTTGACAGATGATGTTCAATTACGTTTAATAGGATGTTTTACGCGAATATTATTTATTTGTGATAAATTTGTAGTAAGTAGTTTTGTTTGTAGTTTTATTTATATACAAAAACGTTAGTAAACGGGCCCCAAGTGTTACTAGAGACTCAAAATATAAACTTTTTTGATATGTTAATATGAAAATGCATTTTTGGCATATTTTTCTCAAACACGGTGCTCTGAAAGATCTTATTTGTATAATTATATGCTCATTGGTATTTATAAAACATTTTCTAGGTTATATTATTTTTTATTTATGTTATTTAAATTCAGAACCTAAATTTGGTATCGATCAAATGGACCTTTTGTCGAATAACATTTTTCCAGTTATAATTTCCCAGAATTTATCGCAGAATAGATAGTAATATATGAAGGTCCGGGGTTAAAAAGGCCAACCACCGATTTGTCAAAAATCAGTAAAGTTAAGCATTGTTTAACAACAATATTTGAAAGTAGAGGAAAAAAGATTTAAAGCCAGCTACAAGCTTGATTTGAAAACGGTAATCTTTGAAATGGGGGAGATAAACGGTAATCTTTGAGAATCCATAATAAAAGTATTTTCTTCCGTTGGTAGTTTTTAAGCATTAGTTAAAAATGTAATTATTTTGTAAAATACCTTTAAAACTATAATAAAGCTTTAAATCTTTTTGCCACCTGCCCGTTTCAAGTTACCCCGCCTACAGCGTAAAAAGGTCTAGATAACAAATTTTTGAAAGAAGCATTCAAACAACACATCCTTATATACTTAAAGTATTAATATTTTTGATTCTCTAGAAATTGTCTAGAATATACCTTATTTAGCAAAACAACGTTTGCCGGGTCAGCTAGTTTATAATAATTATTTTAGTACAAATGTTGACTCACATTTTATGAGCAACTTTTTAAAATATGGCACCTTACCGAATTTTAAATAAAAATTAAACGGAAATTTTATAAATATTGAAAAAAATAATAAAATTTTCTTTCGTTATAGTTAGTTCAGAGTGAATTTCATAAGAAACGTGCTCATACAGTGAAATGCAATTTAAAAATAACTAAAAAAATGTAGAATAAGTAAAAATAATCAGTCAATGTGTCGATTATTTTTATGAAAATGTGGCAGATTTTTTTTATTTTATTTCCATAGTAATACAAGCTGCCTGAAAGTGCATTCTGTAATTCTGGTGACTTGTGTGTAAGATAAGATTTTAAAATGCTACTCAGTGGTAGTGATTTTAAGTTTGAAAAATAGATGGAAAGAAGGTATAGAAAAAATAATAATAAAACTAAATTACATATTGACTATGCTAAATCTAACGGGTTTATTCTTAAGTTTTCAGGGGATGTTTGAGGAACTCAAGTCTTTCGCAAGTTGATTTGGATCGTTTTCCAGTATGGCCTTGTATTTGGATGCAAGTCTTCTAATTTCTTCTGTTACTGTAGATTTGTATATTGGAGTCTTGATGGAACAGCCAATTTGGGATAGACTTGAGTGCCTCTAATATTTTTTTAGGATACATACATAGATCAATATGACACAAAATTTTTATGAAGTATATCAAAATGATGCGATCTTGAATTAAGTAATCACTCCATTCAGCATTTGTACGTTACGTATTAATTAAAAGATACAAAAGCCAAATTTAGTCAGTGCAAATTCAAATATTAAAATAGTATAAATAACATTGACTAGACTAAAACAAAAATAATTAGACATACCAGTCAAATTCTTATTCTCCCTATATGGTATGTGCTGGTGTGTGCGTCCATCTCTGAATTTCTTCGCCAGACCAAAGTCTATTATATAGACCAAGTTTCCTTTCTTTCCGAGTCCCATAAGAAAGTTATCGGGTTTAATGTCGCGATGGATGAAGTTACGCGAATGTATATATTCTGTGCGAGATATAAGTTGATCGGCAAGTAATAAAACCGTTTTCAAAGAAAACCTCCTCGAACAGAAATTAAATAAGTCTTCTAATGATGGACCCAGTAATTCCATAACCATTACATTGTAGTCGCCTTCTGAGCCGCACCATTTAATTGTAGGTATACCCACTGGAAAAAAGAATTGACATTAGTTAATTATGAATGATGTATCATATCTATTAATGAGGTTAATTACATTTGCATAAATGCACAAAACAACAAATGATTAGAGTTAAATATAATAAAAGCTTCCAATATAAATTGTACTGTACTATAGTAACTGTTTAAGATCTGGTAAGTCGTAAACCTCAAATAAAAATTATTTGCAAATTTCCTAATTATTTAAAAAATATTCAAAATTTTCACGCATTATAGTCTTTACACTCTCTTCTAGAATGAAATACATATTTTGAATCTGTTCTACTGATCATTGAACTAATCAAACATTTAGATTCATTTGTATGCGGTATAATGAATAAAGTATAGTTGGCGCTGGTGTTATTCTACGCCTATCTTCATTCAGTATCAAAAATAGTCACAAAATGAAATATTCATTTCAACAACGTGTACGAACATGAAGTTCATATCGTTTGTATAAATTTTCAGTGACGGTTGCGTGTAATGGCATAGTGGCCTCCGACGCCCTCTTGACCAGTTACAGAGGTATAGAAACGCATGCGATTACAAAAAGTACAGTTGTCAGTTTACCATTATGGATATAATTGCCGTAACAAAGAAATTGCTAGAGAAACAGTTATAAAGATCAGCAAATGGGTAAACTAGTGGTGCATGGCATCGTGCCTTATAAGGTAAACTGATGGGACTTTTCGTACCAAAAATTATTTTTTTTAAAGAAAGACTAGATTTTTTTTAAACTTTGAAAAAATTCGATTTTTGAGAAAAAAAAACTTAAAAAAATGTTTTGATTATTTCGAAATATTTTGAAATTTTTGAATTTCTTTTCAAAGCAATCGTACTGCTTCAACTGCATAGAGACAAAATATCAAAGCGCGTAAGTATCGTCGCCGTCTTTTGGGTTCCGTCAATTTTACGGAACCCATAGAAATGTAAACAAAATTTAAACGTATTATTAAAATCTCCATAAAATATCTGATTTTTGACCGCCAAATCGCGTTATTTTTCTTTTTTTACTAGATCTCCAAAACCGCTAGACCTGCCTTCCCAAAAATTGAATCAGTTCTTTATTTTGTCAATGCAAGTAAAATGTTTTTTGAAATGTTAAAATCGGACTCTCTGTTCTCCTAAAAACTGAGTTACCGTTTTTGGCACTTTTTGTCCCTTATCTTCGAAACGGCGAGACGTGCTTTTGCCAAAAACTAATCAGCACACGTCTCCTTATCAATAGGAATCGAAGGTTTTTTAAATAATTAAAATCGATTGAACCGTGTTCCCGAAATCGTCGACGAAAATTTGTGTTCGCACACACACACACACATACATCCATATTTTCTAAGGTATGCCAAAATGTTCAGAAACCTCTGAAACGTATAAAAGATATATAAAAATTTTCATTTTAGATTTTTTGCGAAACTATAACTTACCCTACGGGAAGTTAATCATTAACTGTAAGATGTAAAGTTTTCTATAACTGAAGTGACTGATCAACAAAAAAAATTTATAGAAAATATTGTTTTATCAACTATACTATTACATTGCAAATTATATTTCTGATTTATAATAATACCCGCGATTCGATTAAATCTTGTGTAATTCTTTAAATATCAATTCGATTTTCCTCTGGCTTTTCTTTTATTTCGACAGATTCAGGTTACACAAAATTATGAATTGTTAATTTTTTATTAATTTCCCGTAGGGTAGGTTATAGTAACCGCAAACTAATCAAAAATGAAAATATTTATATATATTTACGTTCCAAAGGTTTCTGAACATTTTGGAATACCTTAGAAAAAATGGATGTGTGTGTGTGTGTGTGTGCGCGCGGATACAAATTTTCGTCGGCGACTTTGGCAAAGGCGGGTCCAGCCGTTTCAAAAATGGTAATTTATTTGTTGAGATAATCGATTTGAATTATTCAAAAAACATTTTATTTGTATTGAAGAAATAAAGAACTGATATAATTTTTGGGGAGACAGATCTTGCGGTTTCCGAGATCCAATAAAAAAAGTAAAAAAAAGCCATTTGGCGATCAAAAATGATCATTGACAATTTATAAAATTTTTTCAAAGTTTATAAAAAATGTTGAACCTTTTTTAAAAAATTTAATTTTTCGGTACGGAAAGTTCCAGCAATTTGCTTTAATGCACGATGCCATGCACCACCAGTTTGGTTTTTTATAGATCTATAATGCATACAATTTCACCATAAAATAAACTGCAATTTTTCTGTAGTTCAACGTCCGTTTTTAAAAAAAATCTATAAACACTACATATAAAGTAAATGTGACCTCAGAATTATGACCTTTATTCATTCAGATATACATGTGTAATAATTAAATAAATTTGAAGTAACGAAATGAAAACGAAGTTAATCATTCGCTTTAGTGCTCATTGTTCTATCAATAAAACTAAGAAAAATTACGTCGTCTGCGCGTAATCACTGCGGAAAATAGGTCAAACTTTCTATTGCCAAGGTGACTGCTGCAGACAATATAATAATAATAATACATCACAAAGAAGGGAGAATTTTTACAACAATGTTTGAATTGTTCATTATCCAATGTTACGAAATCGGAAAAAATGCATTCAGACGTAGATATTCGCGATTTCGAGGTCTCAGCATTGTCATAAAATCTTCCTTATTGACTTTGCGCCTATGGTCCTTAGAAATAATATTTCAATATTGACTTATATAGTTCCTCTTCATATGGAATTCCCTAAAATTGCATATATTATAAGAAGATCCAGCAATGAATTTTGTTGTAGCTTACAAAGTGATAGAAAAAAGCAATGTTTGTTATATGCATTTCTTACAAAATTTAAAAAGGGACTCCATGAAGGAGAACATTTATTATAAAGGTATATTTTGCTAGTGAAGTGTAAGAATGTACTTATGAGTTCTAAAATTTGTAACATTAGCTGGAACGTAGAGGCCTTGTCAGGTAATGATATCTCACACATTAAAAAAAGCATGAAAATTTAAAAAAAATACATTTATGATAAATATTGAACTTTCACTTTTACCAAACAAAATTTACAAAGAATTCAAATTAGATCTTTTCAAATCTGACACGCTCCTTTTACCTTCTTCCGGAAAAGTAATTTGTTAAAAGCATTCATAGTTGATGATGATTTTAGTATGTATTTCTGAAGTGTCCGTCTCCATGAAAAATTTGGAAAATTTATTTATTAATTTTTCTTACGCACGTTAGGGGCCCCCGCGATAGCATTAACATTAGTCTATTTATTAAATTTTATATTTTATAACATACAAATCGAAAAATGACCTAAATATATCTATCAACTAAGTAAAACTGTATTAAATAGAAAATATGTTTATTTAAATATGTTAAAATTACTTGTGTTGCATAGAATTATATACAGATCAAACCATTCAAACCATTCCAAGTATCTATCTATCCTATGCAATCAGATTTATTTTAATTGAACCTTACTTAGATGATAAAGTATATTTATACATTTTTATGAAAAAAATCAAAAATTAAAAAAAAAGTCGTAAAATTCATAGTACAAAAACAATACTAGAAAAAATTACAACGTAATATTTCTGAGGTAGCTCTTCCACTTTAACACGTTTTACAACTAATTTCCGCCGAAGCGGTTGTATGCGCGCCATGTAATATTGATTATTTTCAACAAAGGTAGCTTTTATTACGACAATACACTAAAACTCATCTGGTTTATTAAGAATAGTTATTTTATCGTTTTCGATATATACACGAATAATTGTTAAATTAGTAAATTTATAAAAAATTATATAAAAATACATGTGAAGTTAAAAGCATTTTAAATTATGAAAAATTTGATAAATCTTTCAAATAATATTACAGCAATAATAAAAATCGAAAAAACTTTTATAAACCCTTTCATAATGTGTACTCATTCCACTGAAATTCACAATTTAAATAAACTAGTCAATCCAAACTAATTGTTAAAATTAGTTAAACACGAGTTTTACGAGTATTATGCAGTTATACTTTGATTATTGGTACAGTAGAGCCCCTAATTAGAAGAAGGTCAATAAAAACACCAATTTTTCTTAATAAAATTCAGAAGGTCGAGTGTCAAAGTTAAAATCTTTATTTTACAATAATGAATCTTTCTTTGCTTCTGGAAATTAAATCACGTGGCTCAGATTCTCGATTACTCGTCTTCGAATTGACTTTCTTCACTGTCAAACAATAAAAAATCGTTTTTTTTTATTTATTTGACTTTATACGACTATTTATTTCAATAAATGAAATCAATAACCTGGAAACGCAATATATTACAAAAGTTAATATAATTACCAAAACATTTATTAAAAACGTTTTATGCATATGCAGAATCAGAATGAAACTTGCAAGGTTTCAAAGATATTCTAATATGCTAATATGCAACATACTAAAATCGGTATTTGTTCAGCAAGGCGACAGACAATGTAACTATTCGCAAAGTTGGGAGTAAAGGCGGAAATTTAACCGTAGAGCAAATTGCATTTCGCACACTGAACAGCGTGGAAATACTGGTAGCTGAAAGGTGCAGAATAGTGACTCCCTCAGTTCTGCAAATTTCAGAATTTAATCTAATTTCATGCTCGCAGTGTCAGTAATTTTCCAAACACGGATTATAAATTACGGTTGGAATCATTTGCAATGTACGGGTTAAAAATGTATGCATACGATCGTATTTTTCGAAACTCATAACATCAACGAGATGAAATAGGAAACAACCACTGTATCGTTTTTGACAAATTTGTTTTTTTTTTACCTTATAAAACCAAGAAAATAATTTAAAGGTAACAATCATGGCTATGAACAATGACAACATATACAAGATTAGAGTGAACTATATTAATCATTGCAAAATAATGACTTAGCCCTTTTCCTTATATTATGAAGACTTCATATATTGAATCTAAATCATTAAGGGGCACCACTAGTGTAACCGCCTAAAAAAAGGCGATTTTCGGGAATTTATATAAAAAACTAC